GCTATGCAGGGGCTGACCTTGAGCTCACTTTGTAGCCCAGGCTGGCCTCAAACTCACAATGCTCCTCCTGCCTCAGGATCCCAAGTGCTGGGATTACAGGAGTGCCCCACCATGCCAAGCCAAATCTTTCATTATGAATCTGTAAATAATATAATATTTTTAATGTGCTAAACAGAGACTGCTATATACTGTTTGGATAAGTCTGGGCCCCAGAGACATGTATGTCAATTCTTTTCCTAGGATTAGGCTGTGTTTTAACTTACAGCACTTTTTTTTTTTTAAATCAAGTTTATTGAACTATAAAAGACACTCTTTTAAGTGTGCTATTCTAAATTAATTACTCTCTAGGCTGCACCTTTATGAAAAATTCTAGATATAAATTTGCTCCCCATAGTATTTATTTCTAAAAATAAATGGATGGCATATTCAGAAAGAAGCACTCTTTCTTTAGTGCTCTGTGTGTCAACCAGCTTAAGCCAGATGAGGTCGGGAATTAAGGTCATCACCTGCGGGTGACAGATGTCACCCCTGAAAGTCTTTCTCGTGCTGCAACCCCATCTCTGTCTCCAGGTTTCGTTGGCATAGGGCATCTAGTTCTGACCCTGGGGTTTTGTTGATCATGGATGGATAACAGAGATGGAAAGGGAAGTCAGCATATAATTCAGCCTCTTATGCAAAAGAAGTACACAAAAAAGCAACTAATATAAAAGCAAAATACTGATGGAACAAGTTAAATATCTAGCTTATCTCAGGAGATCTTTTCTTAGCTTCTTCTTTTATTTAAATAATTTTAAAAGATGCACATCTACTTTGTACCAAGGAGCATGCTACTCTGGAGGCATGAGGAAATGCAGGCTAATTCGGGGCCCACAAGGTTTGCAGTTGGCTGCCGGGGTGGTGGAGGAACAAACGGAGAGTTTAATGGTGAGGGCACAGGGTCGCAGTTAGGAGGAGCAGGTGCTGGGGTTCTAGTGCACAGAGGGTGACTACAGTCAACGTATTGTATCCCATATTTCCAAATAGTCAAAAGAGAATGTTTTAAGTGATTTCACTACAAAGAAATGTGATTTGTTAAAACAATCAAACCTAGCTTCACTCTGACTGGTGTAACCTGAATTGCAGCTAAGAATTCTCTAGGAAACTATTTCCCTTCCCTGGTCTTTTAGGTGCTGGTCTATGGTTGGTGATCAACACGTGGGACAGAACCTCTCCATTGGCACAGGGTGCGACTACAAAGCCATCATCGAGCATGAGATTCTGCATGCTTTGGGTTTTTACCACGAGCAGTCGAGGACCGACCGGGATGACTATGTGACCATCTGGTGGAATGAGATTATCCCAGGTGTGTGGAGCCCAGCGTGGCAGGGTGGGGATGGCGCTCACCTGTGTGGCTTGCTGAACGCCCTCAAGGCTACATTGCTGGAATTAAAAGTGATCCCAGGAAAGGGTCCCGGGGAGTGGGAAGAGTGAGTCCGCACAATGTGGGGGTCACCTGAAAGTCAACCAATGATTTTGTTACGACTCCTGCCTGATGAACCTAATAACCCTATTAGGGCAACTTTCTGTGTGTGAAGCTGCACATGGCTCCAGCAGGCTGGAGGACGGCACCCTGATATTACAGCCCATCACACATTCCAGAATTGTCTTTGTGCTTTTCTAAGTCATCCCATGCTAACCACTGTGCTAAAGGCCAAGTAGTGATCTTTGGCTCCCAGTCCAACCTACAAAAGTGTTTGTCCCTGCTCACCTAGAGATGAGATTACAGATGAGACCCAGTGTATCTGTCTCCTGGTGGGGATTGTGCTGTAGCTGGCATGCCAGGGTGCAGAGGGGAAAAGGGCCTGGAGTCACAGGGTGCCATTGACCTGGTCTTATCTGCCTTCCACCCAAGTTTCTTATCTTCCTACACATCCACTTGGCTTTGCTGAAAATCTCATGAGAAATCAGAAACTGTGTTCATTTCTAAGTCTTAAAGAAAACAATGGTTAATCCTTTCACGATGGCTTTAGGCCAACTTAGTTCCCTTTTCCAAAGAGCCAGCCCATTTGCTAGGGTGATTTGCAGACTTGTTGAGGTCTTCCTGGGCCTGAGTTGCTCAGCACATATTTGCTTATCTCCTGAGTTTTCATCAGATGCAATTCCATATATCTAAATTGCATGCAATCACTGGAGACCTGTTCTCCAATGGGACAACAAACCCAACAAGAGCATAAAAAAGGAAAGTATTATTTCTCAGGGTCATTTGTGACTTATATTGCCCCCTTTTTTTTTGTTTTTTTTGTTTTTTTTGTTTTTCTCCGGTACCGGGAACCGAACTCATGACCTTGCACTTGCCAGGCAGGCGCTTTTGCCGCTGAGCTAAATCCCCAGCCCTTATATTGCCCCTTACTTGGAGTGATCCAGTCCTGTTGTTTCATCTCAGTGGACACTGTACCAGCAACACAGCTTCTCTTCCCCAGCCTGTTCCCTTGTCCTGACTCATAACTGTAGTTTTTTCCTTTCCACTAAGGAAAAACTCAATTTCTGAGGTCTCACAGGGGTTGGCAAACTCCAGCCCATAAGTGACCCATTATGTAAATACAACCATGCCCATTGGGTTATATGTCACCCTGGCTGCTTTTTGTTGCAATGGCAGCACTCAGTAGCAGTGACAGAGAAAATATGGGTTGCAAAGCCCAGAACATCTCTTAGGTGACCCATTATAGGAAGTTTGCAGATGACCTTGGTGTGTGGGATCACTTCCTGTCATGGGCTCCAGCGATGAGTCCTGTAGAGGCACGATAAACCCTGTTCCCTTTTGGGCCACTGTTTTCCTGACGTGGATTCTAGAACATCACAGGCAGAGCAAAATGCACTGGCTAAGTTTTAAAAGTTACTGAAGCCATTTATTTGTAAACCAATCTGATAAGAATCCTTGAATAAAAGGAATGAAGTAATCCCCTCCACCCTGATGAGTATGTGGGAAGTTAAGACAGGCAGGGCGTGGAAAGTGCCTGCTTCAGGTACTTTGCTGGGTCACGAGGCTGGGGGAAACTGAATGCAGGCTGGTCCTTACCACTGGACTGTTGTCACAGGTCTGTCACTGCATGTGACATCCTAGCACCCTCTGGAGGACTCACTTTCTCCCTATCCTGTGTGGGTTATTTATGTCTTTCAGGGGTGTCCTATTTTGAACATGTCTTGAATCCCATAAGTCCCCGTGAGCAGGAGAACCAGGCATTGTCTCTTTCTGACAATAAACACACACACACACACACACACACACATTTACAATGCATCCTTAAATATAATTTATGTATTTAATAATTTATGATACATAAATATATACTTTATATACTACAGCAGGTATTTTATGATCATCCCAATAATTCTATATATATTTTAATGATATTATGCTGTCGATTTATACTTAGCATCTATTAATTCATACATGTAATAATTATAAATTATGTATACATGTTTAAATCAAAGATGTATTATTTCTCTTTTGTGGGTCTCTGGGAATCGTGCTGGAGAGGAAAGGCGGGAGGAGATTGCTGCCGGCCCTGACTGTGGACCCTGTCCCCAACAGGTTATGAGCACAACTTCAACACCTACGATGACAACATCATCACAGACCTCAACACGCCCTATGATTACGAGTCGCTGATGCACTACGCACCTCTCTCATTTAACCAGAATGACAATGTCCCCACCATCACGACCAAGATCCCTGAGTTCAACTCCATCATCGGGCAGCGCCTGGACTTCAGCGCCATTGACTTAGAGAGGCTGAACCGGATGTACAACTGCAGTGAGAGTCGGGACTGGGGAGGGGCGTACCGGGCCCAGCCTTAGTTTCCTTTTGATTTCCTTTCACTCTTCTTGAACTTTCTGGTAAAGGGAGGATGAGTCAAACCACATAAGTAAGGTGCTCTACTTCCAGACCTGAAAAAAATTATAGCGCCTACCTCATAGGATGACCAAGAAATCAGTTATAGACTTGTGTTTCATAAACTAAAAATATTAGACCAATGCAAGGATCTGTTATTGTCTAACTTCTTTAGCTTCTTTTTAAAGGGTGCGTAAGTATGTAAAGGTCAAGACAGGCAAAGAAGCTTAAAAGTTTTTGGGCCCTGAAAGATTCTTTACCCAGTTTATTCCTAGAACATCCTAAACCCTTGGGTGGTTTATTTCCTAAGACAACCCCAATGATCTTCAGAGATACAATTTCCTTACTTCCATCCTTATTTCCATCCATTCAATAAAGCACGCACTAAGGCCACTAAGTATAGTACTGTAAGTACCTTGTTCTTGATCTAGCACAGTGCCCATTGGCCCTCATATAGCAAAGAATGTTTAGAGGTCTTTTTCTCTTGGCTCTATGAGACAGGTAGGCCTGTGTCTATGATGATGAGTTCTGAGAACTACCTGGTTGCTGTTGGATATACCTTTGAGAAAAAACTGCAGAAAGGGAGATGCTCATGTACCTGTTGTATTTGGCCAATGAGGTTTTAGTGGCTGGAGACATTTACTATGTGGCTGAGCTGCATTAAGTCCTTTTAACTACCTGGCAAACATGTCATTTGCAGCCACAACGCACACCCTTTTGGATCACTGTGCTTTTGAGAAGACAAATATCTGCGGGATGATCCAGGGCACCAGAGATGATGCAGATTGGGTCCACGAGGAGAGCACACAAACCGGACAAGGGGACCATACCTTGGGCGGCCGGTGCACAGGTGAGTGGTGGTGAAGTGACCAGTTGAGGGGTTTGCTTAGGTAATAAAGGTCAGCACCTCTCACCCCAGCTAGAACATGAGTTATCAGCCCTGACAACCTGCACAAGGACAAAGAACTCTTCCTTTATCTTAGCTGTTAACTCAATAAAGAGCATTCAGCCCATGCACATGCAACAATAAGGTGTATGTTGACCTCAGTGAAAGTCATGTGGACATGTGGTTGGTAAGACGGGGCCTTGTAAGTAAGGCTAATGTCCCCAGAGCAGTGCCCTCCAGTAGAAATACAATGCTAGCCAACATGTCATATAAAATTTTCTCATAACTCCATAAAAAAGATAAAAATTTTATGTAGCTGACATTGATCTTAACCATATATTTTATTTAACTCAACTTATACAAAATATCAGCATTTCAATGTGTAATCAGTATAAACATAATCTCTCTTTTTTTTTTTTTTTTTTGTCTTTTTGAGTCAGGGTCTTGTTATGCAGTCAAGCTAGCCTTGAGCTCACTTTGTAGCCCATGCTGGTCTCAAACTCTCAATGATCCTCCTGCCTCAGCCTCCCTAGTGCTGGGATTACAGATGTGGGCCACCACGCCCAGTTATAAACATCATCTTGAGACCCTCTCCTTTCTGTGCCACTTATCTGGATTCTGGTTGTCTTTTGCCCTTACTTATGTGTCGGTTGGGAGGTGCCGCACCCGGCCCTCAGAGGCCACAGGTGCTTAGTGGCTGCTGTATCCAATGGCTCAACTTCAGGCAGTTCCAGGCTGTCATTTGTGTAGCACAGAAGCCAAGAAGTCAGGCGGGTTGGAGTTTGAAATCTGACTCTACCACTTGGTAGTTGGGGCTACAGGAAATTGCTGCTGCATGTGTGCTTTTTTACCAAAAACATCTTTGCGTGGATAAGGCTCCCTGAACCCCAAGATATGGATACATATGTCACAGGGGTAGACAGAGGCCTCCTGACTAGCTCATCCCCTGCTGTTTTATTTTCCCCTTCTCTCCATCTTCCTATCGCTTTCTCTCTTCTTCTTTCTTTATTTTTCTCTTTTTTTCTATGTGATGCTGGGTGTGGAACCCAAGGGCTCTCGCATGCTGGGCAAACATTCTACCCCCGAGCTGCACTCCCATCCCCTTCATTTGTTTTTATTTTCATGTTACCATCGTTTGATTACATGTCTTCTGTGAAAACCATCTCTCGCCTGTTTGGAAGTGGGTGAGGTTACAGATGTAATAGCTTTTGAAGGACTTAGTTACAGTGAAGTTGCTTAGTCCATGCCTGTCTGAGAGAGATGGCTCAATTTCTTACCCAGAAGGGACCTGGGTTTGTCATGGGTGCCAGGACCCAGTGAGCATCCCAGAGGTCATAAACCATGGACATTCTGCCTCTGACCTTGGCAAGGGCAACAGTCTCTGTCACACAGCAGATCAGCAGGTGTGTCATCCCAAATAGCCAAAGGGTAATGAGCTGGAAGTTCCATCTGGGTTGCCATGGTAACTTCTGATGCTCCCTCCCTCTGAAGCTGATAGACAGGAACATGATCTTGATCTGCTGGAAGAAGGGTCTAGAGCCACAGTAGGAAAGGACAGGACCTCACCCCAGAAGAAAGAACTATGCATGCCTTACCAGGTAAGCTTGGCCCTCCCTCCTGCTTCCTTTCTGGGGCCTAAGGGAACCGTGTCCCACTGCCAGAGAAAGTGTCCTATGCTCAGGCAAGCACTTGGATCTGAAGGGCCTGAGGGACCCCATGGGACAGATCCACTGCCATCTGAAACTCAGAGGAAAGAGGATCCTAGTCCGCGGCGGAGCTGGTAGGAAGTGCAGCGTCCCGAGTCCCAGGCCTCAGTGATGGAAATTCTGGCCTATGAGATCCAGTTCTCTTCAGCAGAAGTACTCAGCAATTCATGCTGTGGACCCAGGGCTCAGGCTTCTGAGCTGAAGCACTGGGAAAAACACACCGGTTCAGAGAACATCCTCTGAAGAATATTACAGCCGTTCAGATATTTTTAAGACTTTTGGAAGCCGTATGTGAGCTGCCAGCGCTTGTGGCCAGCATAGAAGGTGCAGACTCTGTGTATGAGTCAGGACAGAGCCAGGAGGATGAGGAGCTTTGCCCGACACCCACAGCTGTACACCTTGTGAAACGTTTCTCTGTGAGAAGGCATTGAGAACTGAATATACTCTAAACAGCCTTCTTCTAGCAAGAGTTTTGCATTGTGCTTTACCGTGAAAGTGTGCTGGCTTTCCAGATGGTCTGCCTGGTTAGCCACTGCCTTGCCTGTAGGGAGCTCTGGGGTATCTGTGTTAGGCAACGCCCAACTGTGGCACTGACAGAGATGTTCCTTGCTTTCTTTTTCTGTGTTCTTCTGATGCTTCTTTTTTCCCACAAGTGGAATCCATTTTTACCCCTAGCATGTCTTCAGTGTGTGTCTTCTGCTGTACTAAAGATGGTTCTTTAACACTGATAAAATACCCAACCATCAGTTTAAAAACAAGGGGTATTAAACCAGGAGCCATTGCAAATACTTAAAATCCAAACCTACACCTCTAGTTCGTTATCCAACCAGGCATCCTCTCTGCCCCGATTTAAATGACGCAACTGATGAGGAAACACGAAGTCACTTCACAGACACCGCACTGCAGAGACATGGGCTGGGCCTGGGTTTTTTTAACTCACAGGCAGACGCTTCACATCCTTGGGAACCCGGGCAAGGGGAAGCCAGCACCACACGGAACTCGCAGCTCACTGCCAGTGACCTTGTGATTTTCCTCAGAAGAGCTTTAGCTGGCGCTGCCTGGATGGGCTGCTTCTCCCATGTCACCTTACCCAGGGGAAAGAGAGGGTACGGGGGTGTGGAAGCCAGACACAGACCCCAGGCTGCTGTCCCCACAGGTGCCGGCTACTCCATGCACCTCAACACGGGCACGGGAGCCTTGGAAGAGGCGGCCCTGCTGGAGTCTCGGATTCTCTACCCGAAGAGGCAGCAGCAGTGCCTGCAGTTTTTTTACAGAATGACAGGGAGCCCCTCCGATCGACTGGTCGTTTGGGTCAGAAGGGATGACGGCACTGGCAACGTCCGCAAGCTGGTCAAGGTGCAGACCTTCCAAGGTACGCAGAGGCGTCCACACGGGGGCTGCTCTGGCTTAGCACCCGGGCAGGGCACCTCTCTTTTCTTCTGCTCTCCTCCTCCCACTCTGTCTCTGTACTCCTCCTCCACAAGGTCCTACCATGATGTCTGGTAAGTTTTAACCCCTCTAGGTGTGATTGAACCCCTCCACAGTCAGAAGCAGCGTTGTAAGAAAACAACCCATGTATATAAATCCGGAGTTCCCTAGTGTTTTGCACAAAGCCAGGGCCAGAGAGAGAGACCAGAGAGAGGGTCAAGGAGGGAGAAGGGAAGGGATGAGGGATGCAGAACTGCAGCTCCTGGAGACCTGGTAGTTAAATAACTAGCTGCAAGGTGTCTTCTGTTTGAGAACACAGAGTGGTGTCGTTGTTTAATCTACTTGTCCTGGTGCAGGGAACCTGACCGTTGGTTTCTCTTCACTTCACTCTCACGTCTCTCACATTCTTGGGTGTTGCTTTATGTGTTGCTATAAGGAGCTTAGCGTGGACGCTGTGCACTGCTGGGCAGCAGGAGGCGTGAGGAGCAGCCTGCTGTAAACCAAGACCCAGCGTTAAAAAAATGTTTTTTATTCCTCCGTATTGGGAATCGAACCCCGGGCCTTGCACGTGCCAAGCCAACCCTTTGCCACTGAGCTACACACTTCGTGGTAACAAGGCCCCGTGGAAGTGTCATTATTTGACTTTTGACTCTTAAAATGTCTATTTCATATGGTTCAGCCGAATACGGGGACATTTTAGTGTTAGCAGAGCGGGTAACTGTGGTTTGAGAAGGAAACCAGACCCTGGGAAGTTAAATGGCAGTAGAAAACACAGTCATGATGGGGATTGGAATGTAGATAGAATGTCTTTTTTAAAAAAGCTCTTTTCGCTTTCTAGACAGGTGACTTGACAGAAGGACTTAGGTAGTCTGTAACGGGGCTTATCTGACAAGGTTGCTGTGAGGTTTGTACGAGACAGCCTTCGCACAATGTGACACTCAGAGCAAGTGTGCATTAGATGTCGGCCACCGCTGTCATCAGCCTTTCTCTGTCCTCAGGAGATTCTGACCATAACTGGAAAATTGCCCACGTGACACTCAGAGAGGAAAAGAAGTTTCGCTACCTTTTCCAGGGCACAAAAGGCAACCCTCAGAACTCGGCGGGGGGCATTTCCCTGGATGACATCACCCTGACGGAGACACCCTGCCCGGCTGGGGTGTGGACAGTACGGAACATCTCCCAGGTCCTTCAGAACACAGTGAAAGGGGACAAGCTCCTGAGCCCTCGGTTCTACAACTCCGAGGGATATGGTTTTGGGGTGACCTTGTACCCCCATGGCAGAGCAACCTCCACTGCCTCTGGCTACTTGGGTCTGGCTTTTCACCTGTGCAGTGGGGAGAACGATGCTATCCTGGAGTGGCCGGTGCAGGACAGGCAGGCGATCATGACAATACTTGACCAGGAGACAGACGTGAAAAACAGGATGTCCTTGAGCATGATGTTCACGACCTCCTTGTCCCACACATCTGCAGGTCAGTAATTTGGGCATAAATAAGAACCACCACCAGGCCTTGAGAGGCTGACAGATGTGATTCACATCTGTGTAAGAGGCACAGTATTCTTCTCACACATTTCCACACTGTGTATGAGGTGTGATCAAAAAATACTGTGAATACCTCCATTTCAAAAATGATCACAATAAAGGACACAGTGCCAGGAATCCCCCTCAGAATGTGCCCCCTTGCTTTGAACATACTTATCCCATTACACTTATCAATTTCTGAAGCAGTTCTGGAGTCCTCTTTCCTGTGTGTCTTTAGTTGCGATGTCATGGCTGCCTCCATGTCCCGAGTCTGTCCCAAAGATTTACCTTTCATTGTCATTTTGATCTGGGAGCAAGAGCCAAGAGTCGCATGGTGCCAGACCTAGTGAATAAAATAGATGAGGACACACTGCAGCGTTTTCTCAAGCCTGCCTTTCTGTTGGATGGCACTCAATGTTCAGTATATTTTTAACCAGACCTCATAGACACTGAAGAAACAGGTCTTCTGGAACTGCTTCAGAAAGAGGCCAGAATGATGAAATAAGTGTATTTCAAGTGGGGGTGGGACTTTGAGGGCAATGTCACTTTTACCGTAATAAATATTTTAGACTTTAAACATTCACTGTATATTTTGATTGCCCCATGTACCAACAACATACTCACACTGGAGTATTAGGTTAAACTCTTCAATCCCATGTTTTCCTCCTTCTCTTTCCTTATTCTCTCCTTAAGCAGGTATTGAGGACCTGTGAGGGGTCAGGCTGTGCCAGGCACACAGAGTACAAGGACTCAGGTGGTTCTGCCTCCCCAAGCTCAGGCGGATTAGACAGGTGCTGCTCATCACGGTCAGATCCTCAGAGCTCACCAGGCTTTGTGAAGTGATTTCCAAAAATATTTCTGAATGTCTGTGTGTCTATGAAACAAACTCACCTCAATTATGAAATCGGCAAAACCACTCTGTCAAAATAAGAGGCATCAGTCTGAAAAAGATCAGACTGTGGCCGCTCCCCTTGATGGAAGTCACCAGTCCCACACATGTGTGCATTCAGAGCTGTTCTCCGCTCCTTGCCTCCCAATTGTAAATTTTAACTCTCCTGAAGAGAGCAAATAAGCTGACTTTTTCCAACATATGCATTTTTTCTGATTGACAAAGCCACACATGCTCATTCAAGGCATAAGGTGATACGATGCTATGTTGTTGTCACTCTGCAGCTATCAACGGCTCTGTCATCTGGGACAGGCCGTCCGTGGTGGGCTCCTATGACATCGACTGCGATTGCTTTAGGAGCATTGACTTGGGCTGGAGCAATGCTATCTCCCACCAGATGCTGAAAAGGAGGAGTTTCCTTAAAAATGATGACCTCATTGTTTTTGTGGACTTTGAAGGTACTTTTGCTGATCTTCCTGAATCAATTAATAATCCTAGGCTTTGTCTGCCCTACTGATTTTAAAGCAACTATGGAAGGTGGGGATCTTTCTTGCAAATGAGGTTTAAAAAGAAATAGGAAAAGAAAAAGAAAGCCACATTCTACTCAATTGGTCAGGAACGCCCTTCTTCATCTTATTGAATTTCTCAAATATTGTTCATTGACACACAAAAATTGTACATGTTTATGGGGCACCCTGGGATGTTTCGTGCATGTATTCTTCATGTTCCAGTCAAGCACCTCCAAAAGCATCTATCATTTCTCCAGGGTGAAAACCATATTTTTAATTATCCTTGAGAGAGAAAGCGCAATTTCATTTTTCAAAGTGTCATCTTTCAGGGATAATTTCTCACCTATAACATTTTGCTGATTTCAGATCAGTTTCAGTCTAATGTTATGCTTCATTTGGCAATACATTAACGTGGCAGCTCTACTTTAAAGAAAGAAGCTGCCATCTCAAGGATTAGCTGGATTCAGAGCGACTTTTCCAGGTCACTAATGATAGTGTTCATGAGGGACAGAGACGGCCTGGAAGCCTTCCCCAGAAGTAATCATAATCAGTTATTTGTCCTAATTGGCCTCGTCACCACCTCTTTTTTCTGCAGACCTCACCCACCTGAGACAAACAGAAGTTCCAGTGCGCACTACAGACCGGAGGCTGATCCCTGCAGGCCTTGTACTCCAAGGAGAGGAGCAGCAGGCCTTGGGAGAAGGTGCTAGAAAGTCTATGTTAGACGAAGCCCCACCAATTAGCTTGGGCAGACAGAAGCGGTCTGTGGAGAACACCAGCCCCCTGGAAGACCAAAATGGGCCACAGTATTTCAGAGACCCATGTGACCCTAACCCGTGCCAGAACCAGGGCGTGTGTGTGAACGTGAAGGGTATGGCAAGCTGCAGGTAGGTGCAGGCCTGGGGTGGGCTGGTCAGGGTGCTGATCATGTTAGGCCGAGGCCTCCATCACGTGACCTGAGGGTGTGGCTTTCTCCACTGGACACAAGTGCACCCTGTGGTGGGCTGACACTGCCAGAGTAGACGAGTCCCACCTCCCTGTCCCCTGATGTCTACCCCTTCCTCACCTTGGGGACACTGCCCAGCATCCGGGATGTTGCTGGAATTTCTAATCCCACTGTAGCCCTACTGTGTGTCAGGCTCCTTGACTGGGCCTGAACATCCAGGCAAGTTTTAGAGACACCAAGCAGGACATGCACATTACAGTGACGTTTGGCTTGATGTTGTTAGCAGGTTGAAAAGTTCCAAGCAGTGCGCTAAATCGAGCTCTACCTGGGGAATTTCCCCATATCCTATAGAAGGACCATGTCAGGAGCTGATGTCCGTTCTAATCCTCCCTAACTATTCCTCCTGCGTCCTTGGTGGCCAAGAGGACTGGTCTAAGGATGCATCTTTCAGAGTTAAGTTTAGTGTGTGAAGCACTAACCGTGTGACCTGGAGCACATTGTTTACCATTTCTGTCGCTTTATGGGGAGGATGAGAACAGCCTGACCAGAAACTCCATTGCAGAGGGTTGTCATGGGATTAAATCAGTTGAGTCTAGTGAATACTTAGAACAGGCTGGGCACAGAACACTCAGTAACTGCTCTCTGCCATCCTTGCCACATGGTGCTTGCTGGCAGGCCGCACCTGAGGCCAAATAGCCCCACACGCCCTGTGTCCCCTCCCCAGGTGCGTCTCTGGACACGCCTTCTTCTACACAGGTGACCGCTGTCAGGCCATGCAGGTGCACGGCAGCATTGTGGGCCTGATGATTGGAGGCACAGTCAGTGTGATCTTCCTCACCTTCACCATCACCTCCCTAATTCTCCAAAGGCCAAGGCCATGACCCACCATGGACAGTGCCTGGCTGCAGAGATGCCTCCCCGACTCCGACCTCCCCTCCCTGCGGGCAGCGATCTGGGCAGTTTCCAGTTTGCTTTGAATTGGCTTCCAGAGACTGTGCCTCGGCTTCCTGCGTGATTCTTTTCGTTTTCCTGCCTCCACCTGGTCCTGCTGCCATGCCGGGATGTCTTGTGACAATGCGCATCCCCTGCGATCAGCTTTGCTATATAGCTGTGAGCTCGCTGCCTGCTGGAGGCAGGGACCTGTAACCCTCACTACCATGCTGCCCCGTGCCTGCAGGGTGCCCAGTGGTACCCACACGGTGGGTAGATGGTGAATGGATGAACCAATAAATGAATGAATAACCATGATAAAGAAACTCTCCTGTTTCTGTTTTGGATCAGGAACGCAGAAGGAAATCCAGTTGTGTGTGCATTAATCAGACACTCGATTTTCATCAGACAGAATGGTGTTATGACCCTTTTAACATCTTTTTAAAGGATTTCAAGTGAAGAGTCCTCTGGGAAACTGAGATTCACAGTCTTTTTCTCTTTCATTGATTCTAGGGAAAGGTTTTTAAGAAATATAATAACTGGGCTGGGGGTATAGCTCAGCAGCAGAAGTGCCTGCCTAGCAAGCACAAGGTCCTGAGTTTGATTTCCAGTACCAATGTGTATGTATATATATATATATATATATATATAAACTGGGTGTAGTGGTGCACACCCGTAGTCCTAGCACTTGGGAGACTGGGGAAGAGGATCACAAGTTCTAGCTCAGGCTGGGCAATTTAATGAGATTCTGCCTCAAACTAAAGAATTTCACTAAGTGCTGGGGGTACATCTTAGTGTTGGATCATCTTTTCCATGTGAGATCTTTCCTGTCATCCACAGACTCTCAGAGTCATTAGTAAGTTGTCGCAGGATTGTAGACAAAAGTCTGAGAAAATATCTGTGGCAAAACTGGAAATATTACCATCTCAAATCACACCAGAGGGTTTGTTATTAGTATAAGGGATGCTGGAAATAACCTTTGCGTTGATGGATTAGATTTATCAAAATAACTATGGGGAGACCACTGCAGCTGGCCTTGAGAGCTGACTTTGGGGTAGAATCTTAGAATAGGACTTGGTTTGGGCCTGGGTCTACCACATGACAGCTGATCCCATTGGCTGATCCAACCAGACCAGAACCTCCCACCCAGGGATGATGGAATTTTATGACTCTGCACCCTGCAGGTGGGAAAGCTGGTGGCCAGGGTCCACCAGATGACAACCAACCCTCAGGTGTGCGGTAGGGGGCAGAACTGGCTGCCTGCTGGGCCCAGCTGGAGGCTCCTGTGGGGTGCTTTGCCAAGGATAGCTGTGAAAGAGTGCCTGGAGTCTGGGAAAATGCCAACAGTCAAAAAAAAAAAAAAAAAAACCATCAGCAAATAAAAGTAGGATTGTAATCCAAATCAAACACCTCTTCTCACGGTTCCTGAAGTGGGCTGGCTGGCAGGATGGAGGGCAGAGGAGAGCACTAATCAACCCTGCGGCCACAGGGGACAGTGCCAAGGCTACTCTTGGATTCTGCTGCTGGCTGCCATCAGAAGTGGGCTGACAGTTCTGAATTCTGACACTTGTTTCAGGATATGCTTAGGCGAGCTTACAGGTGAGCTGTGTAAGGAGCTGTGAACAAAACCAGCTGGTGCTTCTTCAGTTTCCTGTTTTCATACCTCTACGGGAACACGGATCCAGTGCTGCAGCTTGAAAAGTGGGGGCATATGCGTGCCTCTGTATGCATGCGTGTGTGTGGTGCAGGTGCTTCTGTAAATTTGCATGTGTGAGCATGGGTGCATGTATGTACATATACATGTGTCCCTGAGTGTGTGTATGTGCATATATATGGATATGTGCATATGTGTGAGCATGTATGTGCATGTGAGCCTCTGTGAAGTTGTGTGCATGTGTGTGTACACACATGTGTGCATGTATGCCAAGAGATAGGGCACATGCCTGTGCTGATGACTGGACAGAAGACCTGATCTGCTTCCTGTGAGAGACCACCAAAGCTCCTGCCATGTGCACGTTCCTGCCATAAGGTCAAGCACAACTTCTGAGGGATCTCTGCTGATCTTTGCACCTGAGGATCACGGTGTAGGGCTTCTCGTCCTCTTGCACTTTTGACAGGACAGCTACAGCCACCTGCTGGGTGCTGTGCATCCCTCGACATCAAGATGACCCTACGAGCACGGTAGAATAGCCCTGGCTCAGTGACCCTCACTAGGACGCAGGAGCCAAGTCAGTCCATGCGGGTCTTTGCCTAGAATCCAATTCTAATGCAAGTGACCCCAGCCTCGCCTCATTCCTGTCTCTTCTGCACTGAGCTCTGCATGGAGCTAACCATTATCTGGAGAAATCAGCTGCATTTTTATAACCCATGGATTGCATCCTCCAGGGACTTTGCATATGAGCCATTCAGCGGGGCCAGTGCTGGGACAACTCTCAGGGAACAGGGGAGTAGATGTCTATGGCATTTGTGAGTCTGGAAATAGAGGCCACTGCCTTTAAGCATCATTGGAATGTCTGTCTGTCTTGCCTCTGCACCTCCTTCTCCTTCACACAGAAGAGAACAGAGTAGAGTTTAAAATTTAGAACAGGAAGAGGTTGGAGAGTTTTTAAGATGCAGGCCTTCTGAACCTAAGTTTGGAGGTGATGGTTGGATCTCAGCTTTCATCCTGAGTGCTGTCTCCAGGCCCACGCATGCTCTCCCCACTCTGGGAGCCCACACGTACCACCTGTCCCAGGGGGATCTCTGGGTTTTTATCGTTACCACTGCTCTGGGAGCAGGCTGGGGTTCGGAATGAGTGGCTGTGGCATCTACAGCACTCACTTGACTCTGCGGATACAGTCTCAATGGATAGTTGTATTTTTTGTTATGAAATGCAGCCATATAAACAACACACACAAACACAAATCACAGTCAAATACTCGGGGAAAGTTCTGCTATTTGCTCATGAGAGTGAAGTGCCTTTAGGAGCAGACTGGGCCACGGCATCCTTCCTCCCTGGAAGCTTTCCGGCGGTTGTAACAGACGCGAGTTAGATGTCAGGGAACTCCTAATGTGTCATTGCCTGGGGACGTGAAGATGGAGAGAAATGGTTCACAGCAGGCTATATGACACACCAGGACCTTCAAACGCACACTAAGGTAACAGCCACGTAGAGGACGCGCTGTGAGATGACGGTGACCAGTTCTCTGAGAGCTGTGACGTGCGAGACAGGAGTCTGTTTTCAGTGCGGTGTGTCAAATTTGTCAATTGCTGGGCATAAATACGTAACTTGTGTTTTCAAAACATAGAACAATAAAACACGAGGCTTTTCGGACACACTGTGAAGATGTTAGTCGCCTCAAGGTCCTTGGGGACCTGACCCAGAAGCACCAGCATGCTCTGCGGATGCTCGGTCCCCTCGCTCAGGCCTTGGTGAGCAGGGCCCCGGGCCCGTGACTGGCACCAGGGAACTGCGTCTCCTTGGGACATCGCTGGTAAATATTATTAGCCACTCGAGGATGTGGTTTCCTCTCTATTTTTCCAGTCTGGTTTTTTTTTCCTTCTTAGCTAGGAAAATATCAGCAAGACACCAAACTCATCCCTCCACGGCTTACTTTCAATTTCCACTTAGGAGACTTTTTTTTCTACTCAGGGTTGTAGTTTCTGAGCGATTATATTAGATTATTAGCATGGAAATCTTAAAGTGTGGTCCTTAGTGGAGTTTTTATTCTTTTCCCATTTCCTTCCTTCCTTCTTTTCTTCCTTCCTTCTTTCTGTTTCTCCTTTCCCTTCCTCTTTTACTTCCTCCCTCTCTTCTTTTCTTCTTTTTCTTTCCTTCCATCTTTCCTCCTTTCCTTCCCTACCACCCACCCTTCCTCCCTCTCTTCCTTCCTTCACTGAAGTATTTCCTAGGCACTAGTTTTTTACTTATTATTTTAATCAAAGCTTATCTTTGTAGCCAATGGCAAGTAATGAAAATGTCTCTTTAGAACTCTATTTTACAGTATAGACAGAAGCTGGGCCTTGGGAGGTGCTCGTTTCACTTAAATACTATACACACTGGGCGTCACAGGAGGGGCAGGGTGGGGAGCAGAAGCAGATATAACAACTCCCTTTCCTCTGTCTTTACAGAAGAAAGAATCTTGGTGAGAAAGTCTCTGCAGTGTCTGCTCCCAGGTGCCCGCGGAGAGTGTCCCTGCTCTGCCTGGGTCTCTTCGCTGTCTCCAAGAGGCCATGTGGCTGCAGTTCTCAGAGCTTAGCGGAGCAGTGAATAAGCACTGGAGGAGTTTTCCACTGAAGAGCTGGTTGTTTCTGGAGTGGACACATTGTACGTTCCTGAAAGACAGAGCAGCCCCTAAAGCTCACAGACAAGCTGGTGTGGACTGCTGTGTGAATTCCCCAGCGGCCAAGGGAGCTGGGTCCAGGGCCCTGTGACTTCGCCATGCCTGGGACCAAAGCCGCTCAATACTCCTCCCTACCCACAAGCCAGAGAACACCCGGCACAGGCGCATTGCTCTGAGCAAGCCCCAGGCTGACAAGCACTTGTCCTCTTCCCACAGCCAGGAGACCTCCAGGCGGGCAGCACCTGTCCCCATGCCACCACATGCACCACCCGGACCCTGGTCAGGAGATGCTAGGATGCTCTCAGGAGAGACTGGAGGCAAAGGCTTAGAAAAGGAAGAAAAGGACAAAAAAGAAAAATCACAGGGGAGGGAAAGGCCGACCAGAAAGAAGCACATGGGGACAGCAGCAGACAGGGCAGAGCCAGGCTGTCAGGGAGGGCAGTCCGGGTGCTGCAAGGCCGGTGGGCAGCGGCGGGAGGTGCAGGGAGAGGGGAGTGTGTGGGGGTGTGGGGAGGGCGAGGGCCCACCCTACCATCACACTGCTGAGCTGCCACTGCTAACAAGGTCTCTGTCACTGCCTGGGGGGACCTTGGGGACTGCTGCCAACATAAACCAAAATCACAGTGATTATGGACTCCCTGGGCCAACATACGGGGTGCAGTGATGACCCCCAAGAGACCATCCAGTGGCAGTGACTAGGCATCTCAGACCCTAGTACCCTGGGAAAAAAGCTTGCACCCCAAATTCTATCTGACTGATTCAGAAACAAGGAGCACACGCCACTGGCCCTACATAGGACGTGATTCTGATTCCACCGAATCCTGATCATTTCCCAGGAGGCTGAATCAGTGACTCTCAAAATAAGAAAGAAAGTCCACCAGTTGGATGTGTAACTCGGAAAGCACAAACCCTCTGGAGGTTTAGCAATGCTAGGTTTAGTAGTCTCAAAATTTGCCTTCCTGTGAAAAGCTTTGGTCTGGAGTACTGAGGCTTGTTCTGTCTCAAAAAGCTGGAAAGAGTTTTAGGAATTCCTTTCCGGTGGGGGACAGTGGCATAGAACAGGGCCTCGGATTTCCCAGAGTGGCTGAGACCCACTGCCCAAAGTCATTAACTGTCTACTTCCTGTTTTCAGTATTAACTGTGTTTCTAATAGAATAGCTAATTGGGTGATTCCTTATGTGGAAATTTGGGCTGGGGACTTAGCTCAGTGGCAAAGCACCTGCCTGGCAAGCGCAAGGTTGTGAGTTTGGTTCCCGGTACCGGAGAAAAACCAAAAAAAAAAAAAAAAAAAGAGTTCCTTATGTGGAAATTTTTAAAATAAATGTCAATATGTAAACAAACAGATACCACAAAAAGGAGAGAAAGGAAGAAAACTCTCAGCAGAGTCCTGTAGCAGGATTTTCTAAGTATGGTAACAGAGGCAGGGCCTGTACCTTTGCCTGGCAGGGAAGAAGACATTCCTACTCCTGCTCTCTATGACTGATCATTAATTACCCATGAAAGGTTGCTGCGTCCTTGTGACTTGTAAAAACATAAGCGAGTTCTTCTATTTCACCTCCATCCTAAACGAGGCCATTTCAAGGGAAGCCCATGAAGTTTTGGGATCTGGGCTAATCCGGGAGCATCCAGAAGTCACTACATACCTGTTTTACCGAAAAGGTTGTTAAATCTTCTTGATATTGGAGAACTCATGGAGAACACAGGGGCAGTTGAACCCAGGGACGACGACTAGAAGACAGAAAAAAGATGGAGCGGTCTTACTGCCCTCTAGTGGTTGCTTACCTGCATTTCTAACCCTACCCCTTCAGCCACGTGGAGGTGTTGGGACCTAATCCTATTAGAAAAATCGCTTTCAAATATATGAATTTCCTTCCTCTCGTCTCCTCCCCTCCCCTCCCCTCTTTTTCTTTTATTGACACAAGCCATTGGACCAGCGCCTTGTGCATGCTGAGCACATCTTCTACCACTGAGCTACGCCTCCAGCTCAAGTGTATATTTTATTATTTGGTAGGTTTTCCTAGGATTTCCTAACATGCGAAAGGTAGCTCAATATATTCAAGGACAATAGTTGCTATGGTTTATATCTAGATGCTTCCCAACAGCCTCCTGTGCCCAGTAGGCTAGATTTTTAGAAGGTGACTGGATTACAGGGATGTCACAGCTGACTTGCTGCTAGGAGACAGAGATCTGGTCCTACTGAGGCCATGGTCTGAGGGGGTCTGCAGTGTCTCCTCCCCTCTGCTTCCTGATGGTCAGGATCAGAGCAGAGTTTTCTCCCCCATCTTCCTCTGCCATGCGGCCTGCTTTGGAGCCGACTATGGGCTGCGAGCCAAAGCAACCCTCTCGCCTCCTTTAAGTTGCAGGTGTTGGTATTTTGTTTAGTAACCAGGAAACTGATTAAGACAGTAGTTGTGGCTCTAAATGAGCTACAGACAATTCTATCCATTCTTCTTGCTCAAGTTGGTTTCTTTACTATCCTGAATGCCCCCTGAAGACTGCCTTCCATTTAAAGTTCAATGATAACCTCCAGTTTAGCTTCTCTGTCATTTAATTACCTACCCAAAGATGTGGAGGCAGTGTCTTAACGAGAGCTCCATGGCTGTGTTTAAGGGGCAAAACCAGGTTAGAAGCAAAAACTACTCCGTCATCTGTGCCAAAACTAGGTATGGAAGTAGAACAAGTTGTTTTCAACCGCACCAAGAAGAGTCCCAACGTAAAAAGTCCTGTACTTCCTCACACTAGCAGAGGATACGAGGCTATGAGATGAAAAGTCCTCAGAGAGAGTGGTTACCTTGGAGTGCTGGGAAGACCGCTTGGACAGCAAAAACTTGTTCAGCAACGCTTCCTGCACCTGTGTTGTTTAAAAGAAGCCGCATAAATTCAACCTGCCACGGGCACTCCCGACTTGACTTTTCTAGATACACAGAACCGTCAGTGTTCTTACCTTCTGATCCCAGAGGCAGCCAAAGAGTAGAATGAATAGTCCCTGGGGAAAGGATTAAGAAGGAGCCAATTTTAATTATATTCCACTGTCCAGTGAAATAGGATGTGTTATTACCCGGTGGTGAACTCGTCCTGCTTTCTGTCCACCTGAGTTTATGGTATAAGTCTAGGGTCCACACTAAGGGCCTTAACAGTATATTAGAGACTGTTTTCTAATATCCTTTAGGTAGGAATAGTTTATCCTGCTGGCTATGCTACTAAACATTGTCATGTCCACATTATTCCCGACCCATTCCTGCAAGGAATCTGGGGCCTTGGGTGAGGTAATTGGTTCCTTCTAATGAAGGCACAGCTCAAAGATTATTAAATAAGAACCATAGAGTTTGGAGCTACCGGTCCAGAAGCAAGATTTAGGGTTTGCAGGGCTGTGTCACAAGCATCCAGGAAGCAATGTCTGCCTCCTCACAGCTCCCAGGCATTTGCAGACTTGAACAAATTTTTCCTACCCTTGGACACTTCTTGTTGTGTAGAACTGTGTTATAGCTCCTCTAGCAGAGTGGCCTGCACTGTCACTAGTGACCTCCTACAGGAGAGCAGAAACACGTCTGTCTGCATTTTATATAATTACCCAGCAGGCTGCCTGGCACTCAGAGACATCCACTGTTTCTCCCTTCAACAACTGTTTCCATGGAAACCATGTGGTATGCAACATCCTTTACTTCAGATGGCATCGGGGACCCTGCTGTGGGTAGAGGTCTTCACCACTCACTAGGGACACTGTGCTGAATAATCAGGGTGTCCTCACAAAGACAGAGGTCACTGAGCACTCCTAGAGACACTGGAGACAGCCCGTGGCTTAGTAGTGGCCTTTTCCCTTTGGAGGTAACAGGCTGCGCTAAGACGGTCTCAGATAAGTACCATGGAGTTGAGGGAGGCAAATTCCCTCCTGCTTGAATTATCAGGGCATTTGGAAAAGACTGGCACATTGCTGCTAAATTATGATGCGGGTGACAAGGAGGCACAGATCGATCCCTGGGAGCAGAGGAATATGCCCTGCCTTGGGCTCCCATTGAGTTCTGCAGCATGGCTCTGTGGGGCTGAGGCCTCCTCCCCAAGGACTCCTCTCTATTCCTAGGCCTGTTTATGCTTCCACCATTCATCTGCCCCAGGAGACTGAAATTTCCGCCAGGGCCTGGCAGCAGAACTCACCTGGAAGGCGTTGAGCAAGGTGAATATGATATGGAACACGGCGTTGCTCCCCTGGAACACAGTGGCCAGACCGAAACCCCAAGTGAGGCCCAGGAGCGGAGTGAGGACCCCGATGCTCTTACTGATCTGAAACAGGCTGTTCTTCTCCTGCTTGTTGGGCTTGTCCCCAACGGACGGCCTCAGGATCTTGGTGATGACCACCACGGTGATGGTCATGTTCACCACAACAATAATGAGGGCGGGGATGACAAAAGCCAGCAGGGCCTTGGTGTCGTCCCAGTTGAGCCAGCAGGCATTCTTCCTCATGTAGACCTCCCGTGGCTGGGTGGCCGCCACTGTGATGACTGAGATGACGAGGGGGCAGCCGTAGCCGAGACCGAAGGCGACAGCCTTTTGCGTGGACTTGCTTGCCTCGTGCAGGATGAAAACCAGGCGATAGAAGAGCATGAGGCCCAGTGTCAGCATCCAGAAGAACACACTGAGGTAGAAGAAATGGATGAAGAAGGTGGCGGCCACACAGGCTGTGTCGTTGAGTAGGTAGTGGTGTTCCTGGATGGCAGCTGCCACGATGAACCAAGCATCCGCGAAGAGGAGCGAGGCAGCGATGTTCACGATGCAGACGTGGCGCATATAGGACGTCCGGTTCTTGGTCACTGATTTCCACACCACCGCTTCCACAATGAGGCAGGCTGCTAAGCTCAGGATGGAGAAGCCTAGACCAATGTAGGAAATGATATCCAGCAGGATTTCCAGAAGAGAACCCCTGTCCGGAGAGTCCGGGGACATGAGGATAGAGAAGGACGTCAGGTGGTCACAGGTGCAGGAGACGCTGTCCCTGTCGACGCTGTTCACACGGCACCCTCGGCTGTCCCAGCCCCCACTGTTGTTGGAGAGGCTGAAGTTCCAGAAGACGCATATTATTTGCCCTCCTGCTCCATGGTTGTGTTTAAAAGTCATGGAGATCTCGAAGGGCGGAGTGATGTTGTGGCTGATGGTGGTGGTCATCACCAGGCTGTTTGCAAAAGGCTTTTTCTGAGCTTCCTGAGCAAGGATGGCTTTGAGCGTTGGGAAGGCCACAGTGACAACCGATGTCTCTGGGTGCAGGTTTCCCAGCTGATGCTTCTCAATGGTCACGTTGCCCCAGAGGTCGGAGTCAGGGAAGTGAAAGTTCTGTTGGTAGACGTGGGCGTTTCCGGGTTTGATGGTCATGCTCCCCATCTGCACGTTGGGGTGGCGGAGGAATGCAAAGGTGCTGTTTCCTGGCCGCAGGGCTTTGGAAAACCGCTCCATCGAATGCAGCAGTTGTGAGCTCTGGCTGGTCTGGTCCTGCTGTAGGGCCTCCCAGGTGCCCAGGACAGACTTACCCAGGATGATGTTCACAGTGGCCAGCACATCCTATAAGTGACAAACCCACAAAATCCTTTCAGCCCCAAAAGAGACAAAAATAACCTCTTCCTGGAAGCTGGGTGGCCAGGTGCAAGCAAGAGGAGAGATGAGGAAGAACTGGCAGAAGAGGAGCCTCGGACAGTAACTATAACACTGTCCTGGGAACCTAATAACTCTGAGAACCCCTTCCCACCCTGGCTCAAGCCAGTTCAGCAGGCCAGCAGAGGGAGTTATTGTTTCGTTTGGTTTTATCTGAGCTCTCCATTCTGTAGAGGCTTTTGGTGGGTGGCAAGTCACCAGCAAGAAAGTTTCAGAAGACTGCCATGCCCTGAATCCTACTTTGTACACATTCTGAAAACCTTTCATTCCTAGCTGTCCTGGAAAATTCATAGGAACTCATTCTATTTGACTAAAGAAACTAAAGCAGAGATTTACCAAAGAAATCTTCTTAAGGCCCCAAAGTGAATTCTGGAAACCCTCCAAGGTATCCTAAAAGCTGTAGCTGGCAGACTCTAATACCCAGATTCTCACTTTACAAGAAACGGAGAGAGGTTGCTGCAGTGGGGATGGACTGAACACAGTCCTGAGGGGTGAACGGGTGAGCCCCAAACTCCAGCCTCACCTTCATCATCTCTGGATTCACGTGGGATGGGACTGTTGAGAGCAAGTCTAGGATGTTGATGATGGCACCCAGACTCCCAGGGGATGACTGTATCTCTCGCTCCTCCCTGCCTATGCTGATGGAAAGATTCTTCAGGTACACGGGGAGGTTCTGGTCCTGAGAGGGGCTCTTGATCAAAGCCTAGCAAAATGAAAGCCCAAGCAAAGGAAAAACATGTAACTCTTCCAGTCCCTGAGTTCTGCTGATCCCTTCACACAACTCACAGCTCTAGCTTCAAGTTATAATTTCTACCTTCCTTGCTTGGGATGATTTGTATCTCTCATGTTTTCAACCATCAAGGTCTAACACAAATACAAAGCTTCCAAGTAGCGAATAAGTAAGTAGTTTCTATTATTTATCAGTCAGTGGCCAATGTGGCTTATCTCTTTACATTGTCCACATCTATAATTATGCTTTGCACTCAGTGGGCATTTTAATGTATTTGATGTGAGACAAGTGGAGACGAAGAAGTTAATTTGCTAAGACACAAATCAATATTACCTGTATTTCTTAGCTCTTCCTTTCTCCAGTGGTAAGATGATCAGAACTGGCTGTCTAAAGATATCACTGTTCTTTATAACCCCACTAGTTGTAATTCAGCTACATAATGATTGCAGTTCATGGAGTTGCAGGAGTCGCAAATACACAATACATCAAGTGCAGAAACGCCATTTATTTATTTTGACCAAAAGAAAGGAATGTCCCCTGCTGCATAGCTGCCACCTGGGTTCTAACTAAGGCAGAGTAGCCCTTCAGAAATAGAGGTTGCTGACAAGGATTAAGGAAATCCCAGACCTGTAACAGCATGAAGCTCAGCTACTTCTTCATTGAATTGTATTTTTATATTATTCCTCTTTCTAAAAATATTATAGATGTTTGTTTGACATCGAAATCATCCAAAGGAGATGGCTGAGAGAGAGGGTAACACACTGCCCCTGGCAGCCTTGGATCTGGGGGCTGAGAACTCAAGGTTAAGGTCCTGGCTGGTCTTGGAACAGAACACCTGCTTTGTCTGATTTATTGGATTTAAACCCCTTTATGTTCACATCTCCTTTGGAAATATGCACACAAAAGTAGCTTTTGGAGTAACACCAAGCAGCCCTGGCCCATTTTCCCAAGTGTGAGAAATCTGTCCAGCCAGATGGCTCCCCACAGAGCACTCACCTCTGCCAGCTGGAGCAGGCCATTGATGGGGGCGGAGATGCAGCTCTTCCTCTCCACCTGCCACTGGGAGCCCACACACCTGTAAGTGACAGTCCCACCAGTGGTGCTGTCGGAGCTCCTGGGAATGTCTGAGAACCTGCACAGCTTCTGAATGACCTTTCCAGGCTCTCCAACGCCGATGGCAGGGTCTCGGCATGTGACATTCTCCCCTGGGTTGGAAAATGGAAATACAAGGGACCATTGAAAGGAGGAGACAGGGCCAGGCTGGGGAGGACGGAGATTGAATTCCTATTTCTCTTTACTGTCAGTGACCTTGTGAGAGTCACTCGATTTCTTAGTTATTGCTCCTGGCTTTGTTGCTTTCCATTCAAAGCTGCTTCTTTAATCTGTGCCTGCTTTTCCCAACAGGACTTATTCCTTCTGTGCCTCACTCCCACCTCCAGTCTCTAGCGAATGGACGGCTGAGTGAGTTACAGTTGAAGATGCACTTACCAGGAACCAGAGCCAGCTTCATGGAAGAGCTGCGGACCGAGCTGTTAGCAGCATTCGTAAAGTGACAGAACACATCGACTTTTTTTGGACACTGGGAGACTGAGTTTGCCGTGGAGCTGTATTTGTAGCACACTTGCTTTCCCTTCACTTCTTTGGCTGAAGACAGAGATATGGAGAACAGGAAGTGATGACATGAGTGTCCAAAGCATAGGTTTTGTCAGCATGATCCAGAATCATTAAGCTTATCCAGACTTTCCTCAGGAATGTGTTTGACACGTTTCTGTGAGAAAATCTGGCAGTGTTTGGATCCCTCTACCTGCCTAAATCCCATCATGCCCTGTGCACTTACTTCATCCCATCCTGCCTTCACTATGTCGGTTTATACTCACCTCTTCATGGGTCTTTCCTTACCACTGGCCTGTGACTTCTGAGAGAACACCCCTGCTCATCTCTATCTTTGCATCTCCCAGGGCTCAGCCACCTGAGAAGTTCTGCATGTTTGTACCTTGACCAAGGCTGTCCAGATGCTTGCATATCTCAGTCCCCAGGCTCACTCCATCGTCCCCTTCTGTGCAATCTTCTCTAAACACTCCAGGCTTCCCTGGAGTCCTGTTTTCCTGCACAGGCACTATTCTTTCCAACCTGTAGTGCTCATTTCCAATATTTACTGCTGTGTGCACAGCCATCTATGACATGGGCCTTTCTACACATTGAAATATGGGCCTGCGGTCTTTTCTCTTTTGTTCATTGCTTATTATGATGTCTTGCCTTGAGAAAATCCTCAAGTTATTGGAAAAAATTAATGAGTTTGGGAAGGTGCTTGTGCGGTGACATTTGAGATTGTGAGTTCAACTTTGGCTGATTTTCATCCTGGGAATCCTGAGGGACTTGGATTGAGGATTTATTCTACTACAGAGGATGTGAATTTTTTTTAGAGGGGAGTGCTGGAGGAGATAACATAGAGTGCTAACAAATGGATAGCTTTAAGCTGTGCATTCTTCAGCATGGAGGTCCTGAATCACACACATAGTGAATATTCAGAGCCTGAAGCTGGGGAGGGCAGGATAGTCAGAGTTCTCAATACCCAACAAGAAATCAGGCCAAGGCCTTCACTCTATCAGATAGATTCTGTCTCCTGGCCTCTTCTTCTGCTGAGCATGTTGCCCTTCAAAGATCTTGACTTGCGCCCTGGTGGGGGAGAGGTCCCTTGCTGAAGAAGAAAAAGCTTTTCTTTCATGTCCCTCCCCTAGAGGCTCTAGGTATCTGATATTAGCAAATGCCTATAGGGAAGCTCCTTTATTTGGTGTGTGGTGCTGCGGATCAAACCCAGGGCCTTGTGCAAGCAAGGCAAGGATTCTACCAGTGAGCCATGTCCCCAGTGAACCCTGTCCCAGCGTTATTCTAAAGCAACATTTCTATCTTCTTTTCCTCTATGGTTTTCGTGCTTGGTTATTTCTCTTACTTTCTTACATGTTCAATCATGCATTGAAGAGGACTGTTGCTTGCTTTTTCCTTTCACGGTCCTGGAGACGGAACTCAGGGCACCCTGTGTGCGAGGCAGAGTTCGCCCTGAGCTCCATCTCCAGTCCTGATGTCTCTCCTGCAGCTTAGAAAGAGGCTGTCCGACCGCCCAGCTGGTGACTCCCACAATGACGGTGTCTCAGTACTGCCCTCAACAGCTACCGCTATGCAGGATGGACCCACCCTCCCAGGCTCGGTAGATGTTACCTCGAACCACAGAGCAAAATAATGAAAGCTCATGGGGTCTCTTCTGTTACATCCTGTCTCTGACAGTCTCTCTACCCAAGAGGTCAGCGATCCTCGTCTTACCAGCAGGAAAGAAGGAAGACTCCATTTCGAACATCACTTTGTATTCCTCATCCTCCTCCACACAGCACCTGAAGTGATGAGAATCCGAGCACAAACCACTGGCTTCCAGAGGATCAATCATGATGTTTGGCTCCAGAGGCAGTGGGTGAATAGTGACATCTTTGGTGGCCTCGTGGCTTGTGTTCTTATATCTGAATATGCAGTGGTATGTTCCTGAGTGGAAGGAAGACAAATGAATAAGAAGGAGAGAAGCAATTCGGGAAAGGCCAAGAGGAGGCTTAGCTTTCCTGACCAACTTGGGAAAGGACTCACCATACTTTCTCAGGCACAGAGAAGAAAATGCCTGACCAATCTCCCCCCTGGCTCTCCATCTACCTGATGGACTCAGCAAGGGCCCCCTAAATACACACTTAGGCTCAAATAAAATCAAGGGGCAGACACCAGGTTAGGGGTAGAATAGGATTTCAAATTGGTCTCCCAATTTCTACTGCAAGGCTCCTCCACGAACCCAGGGAATGAATGAAAATTTCTACACATGCAGGGATGAGAAGGTTTGGAAGAGAGCTGTCATTCTATGAGCACTATGATGTGTGAGCCCCCTTCTCCATCTCTAAATGATGTTCTCAAGTGTCCAGTGTTCAGAGGAGCAGTGCCCTTAATGTAATGACAAGAGCCCAGGCTCTGGTGGAGGAGATTTTGGCTCCAATCCTAGTTCCCTGGCTTGTGGTATATGAGTGATATCACTGCAGAGCCTCATCTCCCATATCTGCAGGATGGAACAGTGTCATCATCCCAAAGGCTGCTACATCCACTGTGAGTGGCCAGCATAAGCATCCAGAGCAGACCCAGGATGGCATCTGTCCCTTTGAACTTCCCATGACCCAGTGGGGCCGTCCACTCACCGTTCCACTCCCTGGTCGACGTCTGCACTGTCAGCACTGACTCGGTTCCGCCAGGATGCTGCCTCGTGGCATAAAACCTTTTGTGTATCTTAATTCCAGCAGAAGTGTTCCAATACACCTCATCATAGTTACTCACATTGCTGGTGCATTTTATAGAAAAGCTTTGTCCCTCAGAAACAGAAATTGGGTCCGGGGTTATTGTTAGTTTGGCTGAAAGAATGCAAACGAGACAAACAAAACAAAGCTGACCACAAGTCCACTGTTTCGTCTCTCCAGTGACATCGACACGAGCAGAACTTAAGAGAAAGACAGCACACGGGGCGTGGTAACTGCACTATGTCAGCGCGCGGTTGGTACCTGGCTGCTCCCGGGCTCTCGGGGTTGCTAGGCTGCTGCTGGTGGCACTCTGAACTGTACTCCCTTCCGTCGTGTGCCTCAAGAGCTCGTGCACTTCCCCTTTGTGGGTGGGATTATCTCCTGATGGTCAGCAGGGTGAAAGGTGCACATTAGGGTGTGGAACTCACGCCAGCTCCTCTCCAACATCCTGCAGATGCCTCTGGGAAGATCACGCTAGGTTCTTGGAATCACCTCCTGTCTACTCTCGGGCCCTACCTTTCCACATCCCACGGTGCTCCTTCACTTTAGCATCTCTCTGGAATGCTGGGAGCCCTCTGAGGTGAGCCTTTTCTCTTATGTCTCCATGTCCCCTGTCCTTAGTGTTAGGTAACCTACACTGTCAGGGCTTAATAAGCCAGAGTGAATCCTGGAACTACATTTTCAGTTGGGGAACCATAACATTTAATGCCTAAGACTCTATAGTTGCATTATCTTGGGCAAACTGGGACATAGAGGCACCTTAACATTAACTCTATATAATTATATAATGAAAATTATGTACTTATAATTGACTGTGTTCCCTATGCTTTCTGAAAAGCTCCTCAGATTCATGAGAAATTTTCATTTAAAATGTTCATGAGACCGTTAGAAACATAAACGTTTACATGACTGTCCTACTGCTTTTGGCCTCGGCGTTACTTTGTTTTGCCTTTTTAAATTTGTTACACAGATTAATGGGTTTCATTTTGGCAGATTTGAACCTCCACAGAACACACTTTGATCATTTCACTGTCTCCTCCTCCTGGCCTCTCCTGCACCCCCTGGTCCCACATTTGGGGGGTCACTATGTATAATATAGTTTGCTATCTTTCCCCCTCTCTCGGAGCTCATTTTCCACACCAGCTGCTTTTAGGAATGTCATCCAATTTCCTCTTCCACAGGAGGAGAGCTTCATGCCCTGAGGCTGCTGTCCTGGACTGCTTTTCCAGTGTAAAATCCTATATTCAATTATAATCAAAAGCAATCACGGCTTTTCATCACAGCCTTTAGCGGCTGAAGCTCAAGTGTTCAGATCCAGTTCGAAGTCACCCATGCAGCGTGTTTTGTGGCCCTCACTGCCTGTGGGGATCCAGAGACAGCTCCTTAAAGCTTAGCTGCTTCTGAGAGAGGACTGCAAAGGTTTGTGGAATCCCAATCCGGCTCTCTGGTATCTACATGACCAGACGAGGGTTTTTTCAGCAAAGCATAAATGTGTCCTTAAGACATGCAGCAGGTTTGCACATAGAAGCAAAGTTACAGAGAGGAACATGGGTAAGGATGAGGTCACTCTGAACTCGTCACTGCCCTAGACAAGTGCATGAGTATCTAGAGTGACTCAGAGTTGTGTAGATCACGCAGCGCCGTGGGAACCTGACGTGATCATTATACAAATGCTAAGTCACAATTGCAGAAAACACAATTAAGAGTAATGGGTGCTGCTCTCAGCAGTCCTTTCTGTAAGTTGTGAAAAGGAGGGTTAATGATGTATACAAATAGTACATCCTGGTAAGATGGTGGACAGACATTTGCAGCTATGGGTCAAATGACAATGCTTTGTGGGAGAAATGATGCATTTAAGACTGAATTGATACTGACTGGACTGAATTAAGGCATTAAAAAGCACTGTTTCTACTTTAAAATGGTAACAAAATATCAAGTTGTTAAAGCTTTCTGCAGCATTATTTATGGAACTGGTGAAATGGGAGAGGCGGGAGCAGGGAATTGAGTAGTGGGGAGGGAATCAGGCTGATGGACTTCAGGTGGGAAGGAGTTGTTGGGAAGGGGGTCCCTGGGGCTTTCTCATGGACTCAAGGTGACAGGACAGATCAGAGCCCATAACTACTCCCCACCTCCCCCTTTGCCATATAGGAGGGTGCCCCTCACCTTGCCTACAGCTGGGGTTCCACAGCCCTGCCCTTCCCAATTTAAAAGCTTCCATCTGAATTGAAATGGCAGAAAGGGAAACCTCTCCTGTCTCCCTGTGTGTGGTTGGCTTCCAACCGCAGGCCACTCTCAAGGACAGCCGGTTTTCTTTGCCCACGGTATTCCCAGTGGCTCAAGAGGAGTGTGGCATCTCCATGGCTAACACTTCAGGGACAGAGCTCTTACCCACAGGGACGAATGTCACTTCTATGGTTTTGCTGCCCCTGGCTCCATAGCTGCTGGTGAACTCGCACGTGAAGTTGACTGTCGCTGGGCACTGGGTCCTGTTGGCCTGCAGGGTGTACCTGCCACAGCCGGAGTCCAGGTCCTGGTCCTCATGTCCTGCAAGCACAGAAGCGACCCCTTTCCTGCTGCTGCTGGCTGACTCTGATTTACACCAAGTATGGTCTGGTGGAAATGTTCATGCTTTCTCAGTCACCAGCGGTTTTACCCCTCAAAACTGCTCCCTTGCCATTCCTAGAGACCTCATACCCTCTGCATCATCCTGCCCCTTGCCTAGGGCTCTAGGTTGGCCGTGTCTGATTTTTCCTACTTCTGTCCCTCCGCTCTCTCCCCTCCCACCCTGTCTACTGCCATCCTTTCCTAAGACACGCTTCGCACACTGAGAAAATGAAAGAAAAAAGAATAAGCCTCTCAATTCGTGCCAAAATAAGTCAGCCTTTTCAGTTCTGTGAAATATTTTGATTCACATGGAAGCAGCTTTCCTTCCTAATTCCCAAATCACCTGATTTCCATCTGCTGGCTCACAGATACGTGTATCCCTACACCCTGTGAAAAGCCCTCTCTTCCAAGTCCCCTGGGGCCTCCTGTCATCCTTTACCTTCCTGCGCCTTTTATTTTCCGCTGCTTCTTCCATTCGGCTGCAGGTACCCTCAAGCCTTCCCTTCCTAAAATGATCTGTCCCCAGTACCAAGACCCTTCCGGCCACCCGCACATTTCCCTCCTCTCGTCCTCCCACCACGCTGCTGCACCCACCGCATCTCTAATTCTTCACTCCCGCTTCTCATCGGATCTCTGTAATTGGCCTTCTTTTGTTACAGTCAGTGCACGTTTAAAATACAGAGTGGTGATGTTCGCTTGGGGGAAGAGGTCCATGCATATAACACCTTGATCATTTCCAATTCCTCTCTCTTCTACTCCTTCCTCCTGATCTCTTCCCTGTCTCCAGGTCTACCTACTAGCTTCCTATCATTGCTCCTTTATTTCATTCATTTATTCATATTTTAAGCTTCTTATGTCAAAGAAAACCATAGCATATTTAACTTTCCAAGTCTGGGTTATCATCAGCCTTCATCCTCTCAGAAAAACACCCGCTAAGGGTCCACAGCAGCCTCCTCTCCCTGCTTTCAGGGCCTCTTCCCTGCTCCTAAGCTGGGGGCCTCTTATTGGGCTACTTGAGCCCTAGGCCTGTCCTGCTTCTCTGTCCTTATCCTCCCTCCGGGCCTCCTTTCAGCTCCTTTCCTACTGCGCGCTCCGTAAACACTGATGTTGCGTGGGATGCTGAGCTCCTGACGCTGGTCCTGTTGTTCACGTTTTTCTACTCCTTCACCAGCAATCTTCCCCACAGCCAATCTGTGTCTGCACGATTTCCCCCAGATTTGTAAGACAGGTGGGAAAACGTTTGCAGCATTGGGGGAATAACGCTTTATAGAGCAAAACGATACTTTAAGGGCTGAATAGACACTACGCTGAATGGGGCATTAAGAAACACTGGTTTAACTCTAAAATGGTATCAAGTTGTTAAAGCTTTCTGTTGCATTGTTTCCTGGACAGTGTGAAATGGGAGAAAAGAAATGATACTTTAAGACTGTATTGATACTAACTAGACTGAACTGAGGTATGAAAAAACACTGTTTCTGAGAAAAATGTCCTAGCTGGAAACTTCAGAAACTAATGTCCATGCACGGATTTGCCATCTCTGGTACCTCCAACTCAACACATGCGATTTACTCTTCCCCAGACAAAACCTGCATGCCTTCCTGTGTTTCCTCCCCTTGCCATTGGCAACTCTCAGACTAGAAATCATACAGTCGCCTTTAACGACCTTAGTTTCCTCACATTGTCCTTCCCCCAAGCGCGAAGGGATCTTTTTGATTGCGCTTCTGAAATATTGCTGTCTTAGCCCAAGGTCACTGCCCAAACCCCACTGTTAGTTCTCTGAGCATTGGAAACTATTACAGCTGGGCCTGAAGCTTCAGTTATTTGCCCTTCAACTTCCTGTTTACACTACCTGAACGTTGCTTTTCTAACGTGCAGCCCTGAATGTCTCTTTTCCTTTTACCTTTAAAATCTTATCATTGGGTACAGAGGAAAGCAAAAAAAATCTCCTTAGTATAATGTATGACATTTATTCACAGTGTGGTTATAATCCACCTTCTCCCAATCTCATGCTACATCTTTCTTTCAAAAACCAGGTCCTCTCCTGGGCCTTCACCTTTGCAGAATCCCTCCTCCTGGTCACCCTCGCCATGGTCCCCTCCCTCTTCCTGCTGACGATCACACTCACCCTTAAAGAGCCAGCTTTTTTTATCAACTAACAGAAAGACAACAAGCCATGCAGGCAGGGATGCATACAGAAAGGCACAGAGATAATGAGGATGTGTAGTACGAAGTTTCCATAGGAGCAGGCTCCATACCAACATGTTGTGACATAGACTAAAGGGAAGAATGTTTCAGCTGTGAGACAGAGTGATTTCAGATGAGGAGAAGCCTGGTTGTGGACCCAAAAGAACCAAGGGTTTTAATGGCAAGTGCTGGCATGCCGGTATTGTGTGTCTATAAACCAGGACTCCTTATAGAAATTCGTATCACACTGAGCTGGGTTGGGGGTGGGATCCAAGTCTCTTACTTCTTTTAAACTAGAGTCATTGTATTCTGGTCTCCTTCACACACCAGAACCTGGGGCATTTTGCCTCCCAAGAGCGCATTTGGCAATGGTAAGAGACAGTGTTTGCTCTCCCATCCCTGGGTGCTAGTGGTGTTGGCGGGTAGAGTCCAGTGACCGTTGAGTATCCTACAATGCGCAGGACAACTCACAGATAAGGAGGGTTGGGCTGCAAACATCATCTGTGCCCAGGATGAGAAAACCTCTAATAGACAATCACATACAATGGCTTCTGCAGTGAAGTGAAAACTGCTGTCAGCGAGGGAACCAAGCAGCAGCCTGTAGGCCCGCAGGGAGCACACGCATGCTGGCAGGCTGGATCTCATCACCAGAGAGGGGACCAGGCTCCACAGGGACAGCAAACTTGTCACAGCACTGCTGGGGGGATGCGGGCACACTGTGCTCCTACCAGGCTGCAGGACAAGCAGTGCCAGGCATTGTATGGAAGGTGCTGAGTGGGACCCACAAGTGGTGCTGTGCCTGCTGCCGAAGGGACAGGTGCACGCTTGCAGCTCATGCACACCTAGGGTGCTAAACCTCTGCTACTGCAGGATGACAATGCCAGCCACTTCCCAAGGCATTTCTGTAGGGGTGTGAAGACCCAAGATGCTGAATGCAAACACTGAAAGCACAGAGGTGATCAAAATACATGGTGAAGGTGTAAATTTTAAAAATGTATTATGGAGCCAGGCATGGTGGTACATGCCTATGATCCCAGCACTCAGGAGGCTGAGGCAGGAGGATCATTGTGAGTTTGAGACCAACCTGGGCTACAAAGTGAGCTCAAGTCCAGTCTGAACTTCAAAGCAAGATCCTGTCTCAAAAAGACCAAAAAATATATAAAAATAAATAAATAAATAAAAATATATTATAGTAAAACACACATTGCCATCAATCCCCTTCAAAATATTTTTTAAAAAGTCCCCTTCACTTTGAGCACACATATTTTCTTCTTGGCCATGTGCCTTTTACAGTAATACATTATTAAAAATATACATTCCCTGTATGTTTTGATTATGCCTGGTAATTGAATGCATCAAATCAGCCACAATAATTTTTATGATAATAATGAGATCCTTAAAGAAGATCTCTCCACTTTTCCTCAGTGCAGTGGGAGATCTTCACTCGTTATTCTCATAAAGACAGAAACTCTCAGCGGGCACGGCAGTGCACAACTGTAACCCAAGTCAGGGTTCTAAGGCAGAAGGATCTCAAGTTCAAGCTCGCTCTTAGCTACACAGAGAGACTGTGTCTCCAAAAACCAGGAAACAAACAAAACAAAACTCTCAAAAACAAATCTGGAAAGTCTCCTTTTGCTGATTGCTTCCAGTTTTCTCCCATTCCAGAACACCTTGAAAGTGAGAAGACACTCACACATTCAGCTTCAGATACCTTGAGGGAGACCCACTGTGCTACCCTACTTCCTTCCTGGAAAACTGGGTGCTAAAAGAAAGTGCGATGTTTGGAGAAAGAGCTGTGGAGAGAGGGGCAAAGGGCCGGGTGCCAGAGCAAAGGCTGAATTCATCAACTGACAGCCAGGTCCCCAGCCTGTGGCCCTGTGACAGGAAACCCATTGTTCTGCAACGGACCCAGCCTGCCTTGGGCCCTGGGCTTTAGGAATGTCACAGAGAGGGTCCCGGAGCAGGCCTGCAGCACTGCGGCAGACTTCCTGATTCCTCTCCTGGGGGCCTCTTCCAGGAGTAGAAAGCTTCCCTGGCAGGACTACAGGAACTATGCAAGAGATCTCTGCCATCTGGCACAGCCTGCGGGATGCCTACACCTCCTCTTCCTTAAAATCAAGGAAGTGACTGAATGTCCCAGCTGTGGTATTTTCAAGCTACCCTATGTCTTTCCCATTCTTCTCAAGTCTTTAAGACACTCTGTAGGTGAACCTGCTTGGCAGAGTAGACGTACTCAGGAAAATTTGCATGTAAATTGATCTCTTGGTATATTTAAAGCCACGTAGCCCAATTGCAGAAGACTTTGTAAAACAAAGTTTCACATATGAATGAATTGCAAGGGCAAAGCCACGTTCTAGCTTGAAGTTTTTTTTCCTTCAAAGATGAGCACATAACAGTGCTGTTTTTTAAGAGATGACCTGACTGACCTTATATGGTTTCCAGGTAGAAAACAAACTTTTTCCATCCAGTATGCCAGACCAGCCTGCATCAGCGCTGGCCACAGGATGGGTAATAACTTGTGAGACAAGATCTATGGTGAGTCCTTATTATTTTTATATCATGACAACGTTGGATAAGTCATTTAATGTGGACTCAAATGTCTGTACTTTCATATTGAATATAAAAATGCCAGCTTCTAACTGGTGATCAAGTTTAAATGTAATTAAAAAGCAATCATAAACTATTACAGCAAACGGGCTAATCATAAACAGTTACAGAAAACAGTCACGATTGCTGCTTCCCTTTATTATTACCATCATATATTAGTGTAAACTGGAGGGTAGAAACTTCAGGTCAGATTTCCTCTTAAAGAAAGAAAACAGAAAGAGAGGAGAGAAAGAGAGAGAGCGTTGAAGTAAATGTATGCATGAGGGTAGACACTAGGAGGACACAGACATGACCAAGAAGCTCAAGTCAGAGTCAGTGCAAAGTCAATGATCGCATCCTTAGCTCTTGGCCAAGGACAGAGAAGATAGGAAGGTGAAACACCGCTTTTTTTTGCAGGGGGAGATGCATGGGCTTAAATCACCAGGCTCGCCCCCTCTGGGTCTTCTGCTAGGATCTGTAACCAGGCATGACTCTTATGAACTTGCCCATTTGGAGCTTTGTTCTGCAGTGGCTAGTCTGCAGTTGACATCAAACCTAGTACTCTTTCAAGGTATGTAGGTCAGAAGAAAGCAGTCATCTGAATCTCTCCTTGCATTTTCACTTGGTCTTTGTGCTAAAGTGGGGTGGGGGGAGCAGCACGCACCTGGAATGCTCACGTTGCCTTCTTGCTTCCACTCTATCGCGCTCCAGCTCACTTTGTTCTCACTACAGCAGCTCAGCAACACGGACCTGTTGTCACACTTCACTTCTGTCGTGTCATTGGCCAAAATCTGGATGGGAGTCACATTGATGTATTTTTCTTTCTCAAATTCAAAGATATCTACGACCAGTTTGCAAATGTAGATACCTGCAAAGGATACAATGGGTCCTTTATCGTTACCACTGCATGTATGCATTCCCTTAGAGGATGCCAGCCCGGCTCCTTCTCCATGGAGCTCCCTATTGCACCCCCTGAGACTTGGTCTACACGCTTCTCCAGGAACACTCAGGGGTGCTTGATCAATGCAGATATTCCTTGGGCCCCAAAGGGAAGAGTAGAGAGGCTCTCATGGCTGCACACTCAGGGATTTTGCTAGTGAGAAACAAGGGCAGGATTGCAAGAGGCAACATTGGAAAGTCCTAGAGAATAGAAGATCATGGATATTTTGGGGATCCTATTTAGCCCTGTGGTGAAAACGGAATTAACCAAGATGTAGTGCGACCCATAGATAGGTCCACAGTCCTCCTTTGTGTGTGAAGGAGAAGGACTGTTGACTTTTGGTCTAAAATGGGGTCATTAAATTGTAGAATGTGTTGGGCCCATCACAAGTCTCTGAATTAAGAGTTAGACTTCTGGAGTTGCCTTGGGTGGGTACGAAGGCAGAGGAGAGGCAAAGGGGTGCAGTGCAGTGTGGAGCGAAGGAAGATCTGGTGGCGGAGTGATGGATACATTCACTCTTGGCTTGCGGATGGCTTTAAGAATGCAACCATGTCCAAACTTAGTGAACTACATACTTTAGCTATGTGTGGCTTGCCATGTCATTTCCAGCTCAACAAATCTACTGTAAATGTTTCAAATTTAGTTGAAAAACTTCATAGTAAAATAATGCTATGAACAAAATAAAAATCAATTCATTTTAAAAGCATTCAAAGGCAAAAGCCACGAGACAAGTTTTGTACGGTGAAGCTCTGTTCTTTCCGAACAGCCTGGGACACAATCTGCCCCTGCCCCGGTGCCGCCCCTCGCCTCGTTACCTTCATCTTCCTTGGTGAAGTTGATGATGGTGAGCCGAGACATGGAGGTCAGCTGCACAGTGGTGCAGATGGAGTATCTGCTGTCGTTCTGGAGTGTGGTGAGGATGGAGGACTTTTGTCCATAGAACCAGGACACATTGGAGGACAGCACCACATTTTCACACTCTAGTATCACCGTGTCCCCTTCCAAGATGACTGCTGGGATGGTGATTATCTTGGTTTCATCTGGAAATTCAAAGAAAGGCTGTTAGGATCCTGGAGCAAATAAACACGATGGATTTTGCTCATCGAGTGCCGCCAACGCCAGGATTCACTAGTACCCTGGGCGTCCACAGTGTCTCCCCATTCAGGCTTCCGGGCTGCCACCAGAGACTGCAGGAGGCGGAGACTGCAGGAGGCACAACCTGCCAGCTGTGAGGGACATGGTTTCAGTCCCAGGTCTTTGTACTATGTGTCCTGAGGTCACTTAGGTGTTTCTGGTGGAAGGAAAGGGGATCTCAAAGAGGTTTTCAATATTTCAAACAGTCTAGGGGGAAGACTGCCCCACTGTTTATGAAAAAGGGACACAGGCTAACCAGCCTACAGACTGCTAGCTGCTGGCTGGAATAAGGTCAGTGGCTTCTTACCAATAACTCTTAGCCTGGATTCACTCAGAGATTTGACCTAAGCCTTCAGTGAGTTAGAAATGGAAAAACAAATTAATTATCAGGAATAGATAAAGCCTGCTTGGGAAGTAAGAATTTTTAAAGACTCAGTCTCCATGGACACTTCAGAGTGGGCGCATTGTAGACTGATAGGTGTGGATTTGAACTCTGATTCTTTCCCATGGGTGACTGTGGGCCCTGAGAGGCCTGCTTAGCCTCGAGGAGCCTCAACTCCCCACATCTGGACAATGGTTCCCCAAGAGCGACCTTGGGAGCGGACTTGAGAAACCGTGGCTATTATTAGTGGTTGGGTAGTAAAATTCCCCCAGAATCCCTGCTTTGAGTTATTTCCCTGATAAAAATAAAACACAATGTTTTTTGCATGTGTGTTTTGGGTGTCCTCTGCTTACACAGCATGTGTCCACCTTATGGAGACTGTGGCGTCCTTCACAAGCCCGTACGTGCTGAGGTGGGGCGTTCAGCAAGGTTGTCCACCCAGACCCTGACACCTTATAAATAGAGCGATAAATCACGTCACGTGACTGTGGAAAGAATGGACTGGTGTTCCAGCCAAAATACCAGTATTTATAAATATTTCTTAACACTTTTTCAAGGTTCCTGGTTAAAATAAAATTTTAAACGATCACATTCAACTCTTAGGAAATGAACCATCTGTGCCTAGGTAAGGCAGCGGCCTGGCTTTGACCTTGTGTTGTTCACTGTGAGAGAGCTGTCTGCCTTCTTCCAGCCTCCAGGTCATCACCTGCATGTTAGAGAAAAGGACATCACTGACCATGAGATGGTGAGAGTCATGTGCACACCCTGGGTCCACACAGAGAGCGCTTTTCAAGTGAGAAAGCTCTGCCACCTGGTCAGCAGATCTTAGGGCCAGGAAGGGCCAGGTCTTGAGGCTGTGCTGTGTGAGCCCATATTTTAGGCCTTTCATTCCCTTCTGTGTAGTCTTCTGGTTTGATTTATTTTGCTGCCTTTTGTCTTATGAATGTATGCTCTGCTGTCTCATCCTGTTACCGTGCTGGAGAGACCTCTCCTGTTTCCTGGGCCAGTTTTACACTCTGCATATTTTATGTTAAAAAGGACCTGATGTTCCACAACTTCTGCACAGGCTGGAAACCCCTTGCAAGGCCAACCTGACTCCTGCCCTTGGGGCTCCTACCTCCACCTGAGCCTCCAGCGTTCTCAGTACCTTCCATACCAGTTCCAGAGAGAAACCGCCCTCACCCAGACCACAGACTGGAGTTATGAAGACAGGACGGGTGCCAGTGGCCCTGCCCGTCATTTCTCACCCTCCTGGCTCCCAAGTAGCCACAGGCCCTCCCACTCATGGGCACACCAGAGACCCATGCTGTACCCCACTTGCAAATGGAAGGAATGCATTTAAAATACTCTGTTATACAGGCCCTAAAGCGATTGCTCTGTAATATTCCCATGCAAGGGCGTCCTCTGGTGACCTTGGCCCTTGCAGGTATGAGGCGAGGGAAGGTTGAGACCCTCTGCTCTGGATAAAGATGCCCCTGTTGGTGTCAGTGCCTTCTGTGAGCCCCTCCCACTTCAGTGTATGTTTTTAACCCCCTCAGCCCTGCATTCCAGGGTAGGAATGTGAGCCAAGCTGGCAGGCAGCGGCTCAAGAGAAAGAGTTGGCACCCAATTCCCCATCACCACGTGACTTCCTAGGTTTAGTTGCAGCATAGATGCTACTACTAAGCTGCGTGGAATCTATGTGGGGAAAATGCAGATGGTGCCACTTACTGTTAAACCCTTGAAAGGAGTTTTCGTCCGCTCTGTAGGTCTGGTTCAGGCTCTGCAGCACTTGCTCGTTGGCAGTTTGGATTAGTCCAGGGGGGAGCGTTGTAGTCTTGATTTCATAACTCACAACCACACTGCCATTGCTGGAGAGAAAACATGCCACTCAGCCAAGCAGCAACTGACCTAGGAGAGTATAGCTTCTTGGAGTTTATTTGCTTGGGAAAACAAAATAGCAGCAACCACCCAGGGAACTGTTATCCTCAGGAATCACTGACAGAAACCTGTCTTGAAACTTAGCTGGAGGCAGAGCTCGCACGCACAGGCAGGGAATGCAAATGAAAAATGCCACCAGGTGGCAACCAGTGGACAGAGTTCCACAATCTGATCACGGGGCAGCAGCCCCAGTCCCAGTCCAGAACCTGCTGACGGTGGTCACAGCCTCGTGGGCTCCAGGCCAGCAGCCAGGCTTATGTAAAGTGAAGGCCAAACCCCGCTGCTCCTGGACAGACCTCTGACTCCCAAGATGGGCAGCTAAGTCTTTGAAATAGAGTGCAGACCCCTCAGGGGTGGAGACTAGCTCAGGGAGACTAAGTGTAGGAGCTTGGCGCCCTACTGTCCTGACTACTGGCTGCGTCTTCAGAATGAAGACATTGTTACAGGGGGTTATTTCATTTTTATGTTTCTAAACCCGCTAGACTACAAACTTACATGTTTGTTTGCACAATTCTTGCCTGCATCAAATGAACACACCTTTTCCTCTCCTGATTTCTCAGCAGGGACACCGAGCCATAAGAGGTGAGAGTTCCCTCTCAGGACTTCCTTGGCCCTTTTTTAACTCCTGCATCTGGTGTGAGTTTTCACCTCAGCCAGATTCTGTCCGCTGAGTCCCCCACACGGCGCCCGCTAATGGGCTTTTTCCTCCTTCACTGACATACCGGTTTTTCATCAAATAGCAAGAAGTGGATTATAGCATTCTTACGTGAACTGCGTCACAGCCACTGATCTGAAGCCTGGTAAAATCCTGTACCCCTCCTGGAACTGGAAAAATAAAAAAAAAAAGCAAGTGAGTCATGTATCAGAGGCCAGCCAGAGATGCACAGATTTGAAGCACAACTGGAAGCACATGGTTCTCACCACCCTGCTAAGCTTTTAGCATAGTAGACTGAAGCAGTCAAACTACCTATGTCCACCTGGGCTCTTGGAGAAGCAGACGCTAGAGGAAGTGTGCAGATGTGTCACCCAGGGACGTAGCCAGGAGAGGAGAAAAGGTAAAGGAGAGGGGGCAGGGACAGCCACTGGACCCCAATGAAAGAGGGAAGAGAGGTTGGTAAAAACAATGAGGCTGAGCCTGTGAAGTTCCATAGTCTTCATACAGTCTCCACACCTGCAGGACACAGGTGACAGTCACCTCACTCATACCTCGGTGGGGGACAGCACACATGGATTTGGGTGCAGCTCCAGGGGCCCTGCTCAAAGACGCCCCGCCACCAGGGTTTGGGCACAGCTTGTGCCCTGCAGTACCTGATCCTCCCTTGACTGCTGAGCTCTTGTGGGTTTTGATAAACATTGTTCCTTTCAATGCCAAGTGCAAAGGAAATGCTACTTGATTAAGTCACCTCTACAGGACAGGTATTTGTACAAGACCTGGGTATTTGTACAATTACACTGTACAAAGACCTGGGCAGTTACATTGTATATAAACCTGAGCCAGATACTCAAAGATCAGTGGGTAACTTTGTCTTTCTTTAAAGCTCAATTACCTAGTTCTGTGTGTGTGTGTGTATGTGTATGTGTGTGTGTGCGCGCGCGCGCACATGTGTGTGCACATGCATGCATGCATGTGTGTGCATGCATGCATATGTGCGTACATGTGTGTGTGTAGGGTTTCCCTCCTAGGCAGAGTGACTATAAACCCAGATATCCAAAGCAGAAGTCACAAGGTCTCCCAAGGGAGTCAGTACTCATCACGGCACCCCTGGAAAATGGCATCTCTGCAGAGTCCCCTGGGGTAGGTAGGAGGCTGCTCCAGGTCCAAGAGGTTAGGAGAGTCACAGTCTCAGCCCGCCTGGGACATTTTCAATGCCAGCCGGGAAGCTCTGTCAGGGATGAGTTAACCAAAGCCTCCTTAGGATCAGAGTAACTGACAGGGGCAGCACCCTGGAGAATAGTGCACCACAACCAAAGTGCGTGGTTCATCTGTGAAAGCCCAGTATGCTCCAGTGCACGACATCCCATCCCCTCAGTGTCAACCTTGGGTCGCTCTGCCCGAAAGGTGCCAGGGTGTCTACTATGTGGTGTGTGGGAAAGAGGGGAGCTGCACAGTGGTCTCAGCAGATTTCAGGGGCTGGATGCCACCAGGTCCTGTGTGAACTCCACCCCCATGGACAGTTCTAGTTGAGGTGAAGGTGACTGTCCCCTGCGTGTGTTTGATTTAGCGCTTCTGAAATCTCCAGCCCGGAGAGATGTGAATAACTCCAAATCCACACTCAGGTCTTGACTGTGCCAAGCAAACCATCCACTGTGAATCAAACGGACCCAGTTCAGCCCAGCATTTGTGGGTGAAGAGCCTGCTGGGGCCAAAACCTACTGCTCTTTCCAGGTCGGTCTTGTAGGATCGGTAGAGGGCAGAGGACGTGTTCAGGAGGTCTTCTTGAAAACCCACATTCAGTCTGAGTTTCATTTTCAGGGTAAGAACTGAAACAACAACCTTGCGTTAGTGCTTAAAGACAGATAACAGAGAAACATGAAACTGGGCTCAAACTGAGTAGTCAGTCAACAAACATGTAAGGAGCAGTTACCTGTTGGGGGCTGGCAGAAAGGACCCTGGGGAGGGAGTCCTTTCAGGCAGCTGCAGGCATTCCCTGAGGAGACACTATCAGGCTCCTGACAGACAGTTTTGTGGAGGCACCTTTCCTGAGGCCATTCATAGCCTGACTCACAGGTGCACCAGATTTCGTTTCCAGTGGGCGTGCAGACTGTCATCAGCGGGGAGGAGAGAGAAGGCAGTCACCACCTTTGCATTACAGGTAGGAAGCATCTACACAGGTAGGGAATCCCACTGCAACTCCACATTGCCCTCCAGGAGGCCTTCAGGATATGCATATGCATCACCAGCATATATGCATCACCATGCCACCAGGTGTGATACCTGGAAGGTGCTGGCAGGTTATGGGGTGACTGTTGAGTGACAGTGATGCTTGGGGCACCCTTGGGATGGTCACATCTAACAGCAGATGGTCTTTGATGTCTGTGATGATAAATAGACTCTGAACATGGAGTGCATGGTCCCCAGCCTCTGTCTGGACATTTGCACCCTCTTAGAGCCCTGTCATCCTGTGCCAGGGTGGACCCAGACCTGGTGATCAGTGGGATACAGCAAAAATAACGTGTGGAGCTTCTGAAGTTAGGTTATAAGGGATACCATAGCTTCCCTCTCCCTCCCCCTCCTCCTCCCCTCCCCTTCCCCTCCCCCTCTCCTTCCTTTCTGGGGACGCTGACATCCCCAGCATGAAGACCTATCGTACAGAAATCTTCCTGATAGGGAACTGAGGTCTCTGGACAGCAGCCCCTAAGGAACTGCAGCCTTCAGTAATATCTTGGGCATGGAAGCAGATTTTCCAGCTCCATGGAGACTTCCACTGACTTGACTACAACCTTGTGAAAGATCCTGAACTGGATCCTCAGCTTCCTCAGGTTCTCGACCCTCGGACACTGCCAGGCATTCATTACACAGCAACCCGAAAGTCTAATCTGTGATCTGGGAGGTTCTGCCTCGTGTCTTACTTCTGATCCATTTCCTGATTCCTATTTCCTGATCCGTGATGCCACAAAGAAGGGAACTTGCTGCTGTTTAATACCCTGAACCAGTCCTTGCTGTAATTCCTACTGCCCAGAGAGAGGATCCAGTAGTTTGTCATGAGGGACCTGGGCATATCTCAGAGCCAGTATATGACAACAGTCTTGGAAACCACCAAGCAAACTCTGGTCGGCATTTATAATAAGGAGACCTGGCCACAGAGTCTACAGGGAAGGCTGCGGAGCCACGAGGCTCTCAGCTTTGCCTTACCTCCCGAGTGGTGCACTCCCAGGGGAAGGCTCTCAGTCACTTTCTCCCGACATGCCCTGCCATCTGTCCTAAAGCCGCGGGGTTCTCACTCACCTGTTGTCACCTCTATGCTCAGAATGTCAGTTGCTGGGTCAGTGTTGTTTCCTTGAATTGGAAAACTGAGGCTGCGCAGCTGAGTTTTGAGAGACTCCAGGGCGGACACGTTCTCCAAGCTGATCTCCACATCCACAGTGTGCTCATCCACCGCTAGAGGGCTCAGGGCAGCTGAAGGGGAAGCAGTGAGGCCCTGAGAACCAATGGGGGATGTGGACAGAGGGGATGCACGTTCCAGCAGGTAAAGGAAATGGCAGGTGCGGGGGTGGAGGGAGGCTGGGCACAGCAGCCCATAAGAACCCCTGATGAATGTTTTCAGAGAAGAGGGGAGTGTGTCTCCTCACCACCAGCCCTGCCCCTAGCCTGGTCACAAAGGCGAAGGTCACTGTGTGGAACACAGACAGTGAGGGGCCAGGGTAGAAGCAGGGGGGTTGACAGAAGGTACAGTTCAGATGCTACAAGCCGGGGTCTTGGCCAGAAGAGTGGGCTGGGGGGTTTCCGGCCCCACTGAGGTGACAGGAGCATGTTCCAAGAGCTGTACCAAGCACAGCGGGAAGGCACCGGGGACAGCCTCCTGTTAGCTCCCCTTGCTCTGTGTCTACACACACAGCGTGTGCTCTCTCTTCTTCCGGGATTTAGAACACCACAGGTGTGCAATGCGAGTTTGGCAAATTGGAAAGTAAGAAAGAGAACCTTCTGGCTCTTCCTTGTTTTTCCAGATGGTCTCCAGGCTGTAGCCTGCCGGCCTTTTCATGGCTCTGTTCCTCTACACAGGTCAGCTCCAGCCAGGCCAGACGCACCTCGAAAATAAATCTTTCCTCCTTATGGTGCCCTGCCTGGGCCACTGATCCTGAGCGTCCCAAGGACAGGGACTGCTTCCTTCCCTTCCCGTGGGCTTTCTCATCCCACTGGCACACAGTGGCCCATGCCAGTCGATCCCTACTGAGCCCACCAGTCTAAGCCAAACCACAGGTTCATCTCTTGGTCACCGTGGGGATCTCTGACCCCACCATGGCTGGAATATGCAGTCAGAGCAGAGCCCTGGGCTGGGGCAGTAGTTAACTAAGAAATTAAAGAATGTAGATTTTCCACCTAGATGCATTAAGGATATTTTTAAATGGGGAAGTGATTAAGGGACTATTCGTAAAACTATTACCTTAAAAGTTAAGTCAAGCACAAAACCATGATTACGTAAGCTTTATCATAAAATCAGAAAACTCTGTGGCTGCTTTTTAAAAGAAAAGAATTTTCCCAAAACATTGTAAGATTTGTTCTAGATACTCCAAGCACCCATGGACGGGCAGCTCTGGGAGAAGGTTTATCGTGGGAAACTCCACTTGTTGAGTGTTTATTGCAGAAATCTGGAATATTTGTCTACTTGCAGACTATGTTTGTTTTAGGAGGTTGGTTGCAGCCATCAATCTATTGAGAATTACTTCATTTGGGGTCCTTCAGCTAGCTGTAATGAACTCAGATGATAAAAACAGTCTGTGCAGATTGCTTAGGAATGCATTTAATGATGTATATTATCCTTCATAAGATGTATTTACAGGAAAAAAAAGTGACTGTTAAAATCTCACACAGGATCTCCGTTTGTCATGGTACTATGACATTGCCTAAATTTCCTGTTTTCCTTTTGATTCTGAATGATTGAGCGGTAGAAACCAACTTCCTGGAAGGCCTGCTAGTTTTCGTTTGTGTGCTTCTAACCCTGGATACATCATGTCACCCACAGGACCATGTCAAAGAGGGTGTTGATGATATTTACAAGGTTGGCTTGGAGCACTAGTTTTCCTGAAAAGTAAGGCAACAACGTTTGTCCGTTTGTCTGTTCAGAAGGCCCCCAAGCTCCAGGACCCTCTGTAAGGACTGTGAACACTCCTCCCAGGAGTGTAAACAGGATTTCCTGGACAGCGGCTGCATTTGAGATGGGAGAGTCAGTAACACTCCTGTATCACCCACAACTTCATCCGCCTGGCTTCGTCCCAGGGTCGAAGCCCAGCAGGATGTAAAAGTGTGCCTGGGGTCCCCTCTGTCCCTGAGCCCCTCCTCTGACATGTCTACAGAATTTGTGTGGCCATGAAGAGTATGTGGCAATCCCAATGCCACCACTCCGTGATTTTCAAGGAGCTGAGGCAAAGGCAAAACCCTGGGAGGAAGGGACTTGAGACACTGGTAGGTTTTACCCCAGGGGACTCACACAGCTGTTCACTTGGTCTTGGCTCTAAGGCCCTTCCTGCCTCAGACCCTCTTGCGTTCTTCAATGCCTTCTGAGAGAGTTTCAGTCACCTTCAGCCTGCGTGTCGGGGGAACCTCTCAGCAAAGGAAGCGCCCTCTCTGAAGGACCCTCCAAAATGCCACTGCAGTTTAACAGCCCAGGCTCATTCTGAGGCAAAATCAACTCTAGAGCTCCCCGCATTTGAGTAGGGACTGTGCACATCTTGTGCATCTTGTGTGGGTGTGCTCAAGTGTGCGCGCACGCGCGCGCGCGCTCACACACACACACACACACACACACACTCACTTTGGAGGCTCAACCCAGGCCAACCAAGTGATAATCTCCCATCAAAGTACTAACCAGGTCCGACCCTGCTTAGCTTCCGGGGGCAGACCAGACCAGGTGGTATGGCTATCAACGCAAATGACAATCTTTACTGGGCAGGTCCAGAAATCTATATTTTAAAAAGATTTCCTAGTCGTGACTTTGATAACCAGGCGAGTTTGGGATCTAACATTGCAATCTGGACGAAAAATCCAAGGAAGTAATCATGGAGAGCCGACTGAGCGCCTAAACTTGTTCCCTCTTTTGCTTTGGTTTTTGTTTCGGTCACCACCCACAGCTGCTCTTGTGGGGAGACTTGCTTCCGGCGCCCTCCTCCATCCCCTCGGGGAACTGACATCTGCTCCCTGAAGTCCTATAATAACATACGGCATTACTGTTGGATATATGCTCACAGGAGATAAACACTTCTAAAGTCAAGCTGAACAGCAAAAGTACTAGTAATACATGGAAGAATCATGAGAATCTTTGCTCAGTTCTTCAAAAGGACCTTTCTAAGGTCCTGCAGTCTTTGAACAGAATCCCCATGAAATGTGGTAAGCCTGGAAGCCACAGGAGAACATTGCACCAAGGGAGACCGAGCGTGGGACCTGTGAGCAGCACCCCCATGGCTGTCTGGGGAACACAGGTGAGGTCTCCCATGCTGGGTCTTCCTTTAGATGTCTGGACAGCGTGGGAACCCACAGGTGGCAGCTGCACCTGGGAGACGGTTGGGTGTCACTGCGACCCTGGCCTCATTGGTTGGGGTCAGAGGCTCAGCCCAGGTAGGGGGCTAGGAATGCAAACCCCAGGATGTCAGGGCCTGGAAAAGGCCACTCCCTATGCCCAGTTTTGGGGCACTGGGAGGGACAGGGTAAGCGCCCTCTGCTGTGATGCCCCTGTACCCTCTATCTGGCTCCTGGTGGTTTCCCATGTTTTCTCGGTTGCCTTCTCTCCTAGGTTGTTTGTCTGGTCTTCTCTGGCTCATTACTCCCTGACTCCAAGTGTCACTAGTGTCCCTGAGTGAGCAAGGGGGCCATTACCAGTTCCCTCAGGCAGAACCAGCCAGGATTTCTCCTGTCCCTCCTCAGGCCACTCCCAGGCCCATAACACTTGTCTTAAAGATGCATTTCTCAAAGGTTGGTCTCAAACTGTGACTTGTGGGGTCTGGGTCTTAATCACAGCTCCTTGAACAAACAATACCACTTTTTCCTGGCAACACTGGTGGGTTCTGGAACCAGAGCCTGAGCTGATGGGTTCCAATGCCTTCTGGAAATAGAGCCTGAGCAAGTGCAGAAATTCACCTCGTACCTGCCAAAGACAGAAGCCAGTTGCCTTCATCCTGGAGAAGGGCCCTGGTATGATCTCTCCTGGCCAGGGAACCAAGTCCTGTGTCTCAAGGGGACTGGATTCTGTTTCTGCCCTTTGAGGACACAGCATGTAAATGGCAAAAGACACCTATCCTGTGCTCATTTCTGAGCATTTTCTCGAAGCAGCAGTAGGGTAGCATCGTCTGTGGGATGCTAGCCTCCACTAACGGGTACAGCTGAGTTCTAGGAAGGGCAGTTCACACAGGGGAAACCACAGAACCCCACCCATGGCCCGCCAGACAGGAAGAGACAGTGAACATGAGTCATGAGATGCTAGACTGTGAAGTTCGGAGCAAATGATCCATCCTAGCCTCTAACTATCAGCCCACATCATCAAGGCCATTCCACACCAAGTCCTTTACCCAGTAAGATGAGATGCAGCTGCCAGTGCTCCTCTGCAAAGCACCCAAGAGACACGCAGGGAGCCACATGTGGGACCCAGGCAAATACACGAGAATGGTGATCAGGGACCTCAGAGCCCAAGACAGCAGGCAGGGTGGGCACTTCTGACCTGGGTGGCCCATTAGACTTGGTGAGCCACAGCTGTCCACCCGTGAATAAGGGCAATGGGCTTCCTAGAGGACTATTGTTTAGGGGCTGGGATCGTATGTGAGGACCTCTACCATTACGGTTCTTATCTGATATCCTCTCAAAACCTCTTGCAACCATAGGTGGGGCTTTGGGGAGATGATTGGATTATGATTGTATTATTACTAGTTAGCTTGCTGTTGAGAGGCAGGGTCTGGTGATGAGACCAGTTACTGGAGCGTGGCCTGCAGGGTGCATTGCCATGCCTGGTTGCTTCCTTTGCTCTCTGCTTCCTGGATGCCATGAGGTGAGCAGATTTCCTCCGCCCAGGCCCTTCCACCATAGAGCCAACCAACTATGAACGGAAGCCTCTACAAACAGTGAGCCCCCCGCCAAACCAAAACCAAACTAACAAGCAAAACTCTCCACTTTTAAGTTGCACAGGTCCTAAGGTGATTAAGACACTAAGTAAAGTGTCTGGCCTATCACAGCCACTAGGAATAGTAACGGAGAGTCAAGTGATGGTACATATATTCTGTAGAGATGCGCACTTATAGGCCACGAAGTATTAACATCATTCCAATCAGGTTTCATCACTGACATGGTCAAACAAACAAGAGGAGAAGTGATTCTTGGACCCAGACCAAGAGGTAGTGCACATCTAGCCTCCAGATCTGCGATCCAGATTCCCAGGCAGGTGGAAACCAAGCTCAGGCTGAGAGGGGTGAAGATGTCTGCATGTCCAGAATGGGCTCTGAGCTCCCAGATGCCCTCGATTAACCTCTGGTCTACTGCTAGCTGCTCCCAAGAAGAAGCGTGATACTCTTCCCATCAGCCTCAGACACCCAGGGTGAAGGGCTTTGTAGCCCCCTTGTGCCACTTCCTCGCAACCAGAATGTCCTCTTTTGTTCCCTGCAGAGATGCCCAAGGCCCTAGCTACCACCTGGTCTGCACACTTAAAGCATGCTTTCCTCCCAGCTCTGGTCTCTCCCAGGCTTCCCAAGCCAAGAGCCTAGAGAGTCCTTGGAGGCCTACGCCCTTCGCCCAGTTCCCAGCTACAACTATCCCCAAGGCCTTGGCTCATTCTCAGGTTGTCCTGAGTGAGTTTGTACCCATACACACACACACACACACACACACACACACACACACACACACACGGATCAGGAGGCAGGCCAAGGAGATGACCAACGACTAGTTATTTAGGTAAAAGTCCACTGTGTGAGACTACGTGTGTCTATAGCTTCTACCTTTAAAAATGATTTCATTCCAAACTCTGAAGACTTGGCCTGGTACCTAAGAATGAAATTCCCTTTGTGTCATGAAAACTTTAGAAGGGAAATGTGCAGAACCTGTGGAAGAGAATCCACTCCGAAAACCAGACCTCCACTCCAACATCTCACCACACAAGTGGAACATGGACGCCTTCCCTGGGGTCCTGCTGAATGTGACCTTCCCAGTGCTATCCTTCCTCATGTTCCTGCAGTGCCCTAATCCACCTTACATTCCTGCTCCCTAGGGTACCCCTGAGCTTCTCCTGGCCCAGCCTGGGCCTCTCCACTCTGTGGCCATTTCCTAAGTCACTGGTCAATCCATCTTCTGCAGGTGATGGGCTGATTTGCCAGCACCCCCCAAATGACTCTAGAGGCCCAGGAGGACCACGTGTACTGAACTGAAAATGTTTCCGTGGTGATTGATCACTGCCAGAATTGCTTCTAATGAAAGCATACCTGGAATATTTTGAAATGCCAAATCTTAGATCTGAAAGTGGTTTCTCCTTCAGGGCACATGGTCTTACACAGTGGGGCCCACAAGTGCAGGAAAGAGCCCCTTCTTACAGCTGTGGGGTCACCAGCTGCTCCTAGGGAAGCTGGCAGCACAAACCCTAGAGGAACTCAGTGGGAACAAGAGTTGGAACTCTCCTGAGAGAAGTTTGATTTAAAGGCTGATGAAAGTTTTCCAGAATATCAAACGAGCACATTGCTGGCCGTGTGTCTGCCATGGGATTGTCAGGGTTGCTGGGGTGGGGCTGGGAGGCTACACCTGGGGCCCAGAGCCAGGTGAACCTGGTGGTCGCACTGGGAAGGGAACCAGCACACAACTCTGTCCCAACCCTAGGGCAAGCCTGGTCTCTTTTGCCCTCTATGCTCTCTCCTACTATAAGGAGGCTGAATGATGCAGTCATAGTATTTAAAGAGCTGCACAGGAGCCAGTGGTTGGGCTTACAAGAGAGATCACCAGTAAGGACTTCACTTACCCGCACGCCTTGGCCTTAGCAGCTCCACATCTGCGAGGTCCGGTTCACGTAGCACCTGCAAGGACATTTGGGAAGGCATCAGTTAGAGAAGTGTGCCTTGGCTTCCTGCTCATGCACCCCTGAATGTCTCACATGAGCTCAGGCTGTAGGTTTCAGGGGGCACCATGGCCTGGGGGACACCCACAGGAACACTGTGGAGTAACCCAGGAAGGATTTTCACAGCCTGCCTCAGGATCCAGGGGTGGAAGAGATCCCCTGGCCTGGTTCACAGGCTACTTGCTAGAGCCCTGTCAGGAAAAGTCAATCGTGATGCTTAAACAGGTGCTTTCCACCTATTCCCTGAACTCTGCATCCCCCTAGTGACCTATGAGACCAGTCTTGTGAAGTCTGCTCACCAAGCCCACCCACATCTCTGCTGTTCTAGGGCCCAGGAGCCACCACGCATGCTCAGAAGTTTTTTGTTTCCTCCTCAGGTCCTGCTCGTGCTGTTCTGTTGTTTTCTGTAAGGAGACCAAGGAGCTCCCAAACCTGGCCTGCGGGCTGTGGTGCTCCCCAGCCAGGCAATGCTGGGGAACAGACTCATCCTCAGTGAGCCTCAGTTTGCTCTTCTATAAGATGGGACTCAAATAATGCCAACTTCCTATGATTGGCACAGGAAATAAAAGAGCCGCAAGGTGGCACGTAGTAACCTCTTAGTGCCCTTGAGTTATAGTATGCAGTGGTTAGCAGGAAAGGCTGCAGGGGTTAAGTTCAAATCCCACCTCCAGCATAACATAGCTTGTGAACTTGAGCAAGTTACTTGACCTCTCTGTGCCTCTGTCCAAACCATAAGATGGGATTAAATAGAGTCCACTTGACAGAAGGTTATTAAAGATCAAATGATTTCCAAGGAAAGCCTTGGGGACGCAGTAAGTGCCATTTGGGAATAGGACCAGCTGTTCTAGGAACCAGTCCACCTGCCCTTTGCCCTAGCTCTCCTCTGTGGCTATCAATTCATCTGTGGTTTCCTAGGTTGAAGAGAGGACATTGTCCAATGGGGACAAGAAAAATTTGGGGTCTCCCAAGCTGCCCTTGCAGTAAATGCCCTGACTCTGGTATACAAAGGCTGGAGCTGGAGTAACCCAGGAATCCCGTAAGGGGAGCAGGGTACTCATCAGCCCTGCGCTAACCTCTCACCAGTTTTCCAAAGACAAAGCCACCTGGGTAACGTATCAGCAAAGGCCCTAGACACGGCCTGTGGTCTTCTGTGCTGTGCTCGCTGTAACCGTGGCATACGCAGACCAATGTCCTGTGAACTGCGTGCCAGTCTGAGGCCTGAGCTGAAGGTAGTACTGTGCGAACATTTCATTCTCTGCTCATCCTCCGCCACTGCGGTATTGTCATTGCCTTTCTGTGCCCACGACTGCTTGGCAGCCTCCCTGGAAGCCACACTGATGTCCCCACCTTAACCTCCCCACCAGAGGGCAGCAAGCTGTCACCAGCACCACACCATCATAGTCCACAGTCGCCCTTCTGCCTCGCTGGCAACCTTCCTGCAAAGGCCCTTCTGTCCCAGTTTTTTTGAAGAAATATTTCCTGCCTGCAACATTCCCAGGAAATCAGAGATGTGGCAAAGGATTTACTCACCAAAGGACAAGCCGCCTCCAGATCCCAGCTCAGTGCCCTGGAGAAACACATGACCAGGAGCACCAGGCACAGCGGGGACCTCCCTGGGGACCGCATTCTTCACGGCAGTTTTCGGCCTGAAATGGAAATCAGACGACTTAGAGTAATTTACTTAGTAAGCAGGGAAAGAATAAGTGAGCTCTGTCTGGAAGGTCACAGCCCACAAGGACTTTGCAATCAAGTGGGGAGAAGACAAGGAAGGGATGAAGGAGCCACTTTGGTCCCTGCCCTGGACACATGGATTCGGGGCACAGCAGGTGGGGGAGGGGGCTGTGCAGAGGTAGAACCAAGATGGCAGGTGCCAGGGAGCACTTGCTACACCCACGGAGCTGGACGAGAAGGAATGAGAAGGGAAAAGCAAAACAGACGGGAGCAAGGAAGAGAATGACTGCTCAGGAGGGGACACCTGCCTCTTGCGATCCAGATCCAAAACACATGGATCAAAGGATTCAGGACACTTCCTACCTGCATGCAAGGCACTGTGAGGTTTTCAATTCTAACGTGTCCTATCTGACACTATTTTCCCTTTTGATTCTGGTAGGAACCATGAAATTGAGCTCATCACCTATAGGAATGGGTAATCAGCCATTAGTCTAAAATCTGAACTTTGTTGTAAATGTATAAGTTGTATTTTACAGCATTAGTTCATATTATAGGACACAATACAAAATATGAGTATCACAATATAACCCATCTGATGTACTGATCCTTAAAACTATCTCTTTATAATGTTGGCAATGAAAAATAGGCTTTTGGGTAACCCGATCAATCCTCATTGGGTTTAAAGAACAAAGTGTCACCTGAGTGATCCCAGCCTTCTGTACCCGGACCAGGACAATCTGCTATCTGCAGAGTGACTTCCTTCCTGTCTTTCTGTGCCCACGAGTGCTTGGCAGACAGCAGTTGATCAGGCCACAGGAGACACAGCTCAGCAAGAAGAGCGGGCAGGGCTGGGGACCAGGCCAGGGTGACAGCCGACACCTATATATGGGAGAGCCGAATTGCAATCACGGGCTGCCTGTGGCCACCTTTTCCTCTTCCCTGTGGGGCTTAGGGCAACAGATCCAACTTGCAAGTCTGCAATCAAATGCATTTAAAAATTCCACAACTCAGTGGTTGGGGAAAATGCTTTGGAATGTTGATTCTGGGAATGGATGTTGAGGACCAAATGTACCTGCCATAGAGATGTCATCAAGGCATGACTTTGTTCTCTACCTGGGAATTTCCCAACCCATTGGGAAGGGGGCAGCCTTGGTGGCAGGGCGCAGGCTGAGCTCGCCAGGTGGCAGCAGGTGTCCCTGGGGTGACGCAGTGTTTGGGGGCAGCGTAACCTTCTGGGTATAACCAACTCAGTTGGCTCCACATAGAAGCCATAAATCAGGGGTGAGACTTAGTAAATGAGTCGCTACTGAGCCTTCCTTAGTGCTGCAACCAAGGGAGACACAGGTACCGGATGGACCTGGGCAGCCTCTGTCACGAAGCCTTTCTTTTGCAGAATTAACAAGAATTGCAATGTCCCCAAATAGACATCCCTGGCCCATCTGCATAGGCCACTGGCCAATAGTGTCCCATCCCCTCCTGGTCTTTGCCTCTCTGGAGACCGTTCTTGATATTCTTTCTGCTGACTCATTTGCTGATCAAAAAAACAAAAAAATCACAAGTCTAAATACAACAGGAGCCCCCCAAGGACAGTAGTGTTCTCATGCACAGGACAGACTGGTGGTGGTCAGCATACAGGGAGAGACAGACTCTCCCCCTGGACAGGAAGAACAAGGTCACCACTCTGAGGGGCTGTGACAGCCCCAGTAATTGACAACTAGGGTGACAGGGACTTGGCCAATGGGCTGATGATACCTCTAGGGGTCACCAGCTTTGAGGTTTCGATGTTAGTGGTTTCTGTGAAGCTGGGGCTTGGGGTTTCTACCTGGAAGAAGCCAGGGTATCTCACCCTGGCCTATGGGAAAAGCCACCCTCGAGCCCTGGTTCCACATGGAGGAGCCACCTTTAATGGCCACCCCAAAAGCTCCTGCTTAGCCCCAAGACTGAGACCCTGAGTTGGGCAGAGGCGAGGGAAGAGGAATGTGGGCTGACGTCATTCCCAGTCTCTCTCTTCTTTCAGATCAAAACTCTGGATTCTGCTGCTCTCATCAGCCCGTATGAGCCGGCTGTGCCTTACGAGAGGCCGGGAAGTATGACCCAGCCCGAGCCCGGCCCTGCAGCACTGACCAGCTTCCTGGCCTGCTCTGACTGGACTTTCCTGTCTGAAGCTGAACAGAGGGCAAGGAGGAGAAAGAGCTGCTGACCTCATAGGCCAGGAATGCATCGCTGGGGTTCTTGGCAGCCCTGCGTGAGGGGGAGGGGCCAGGGGTCTGGGTCCCTCCCGGGTGGTCATGTTCTACGCCTGCTCACCATGGACCAGACCTGTCTGCCCAGGCCTCAGAATCACCAGTGCGGAAGGTGAACACGGAGTGCTCTCCTCGCACCCCTCAGCGCCTGGCTGCCCCCGACCCCTATCTTATTGAGCCTCGTCCTGCAGATGACTGACCTCCCAGCCCGCATGGCACTGCCTGCCTTGTCCCTCATCCCTCGACCTTTGCATCCATCCTTGCCCTGCTTTTCAGCCGAGAACATGTGGGCTGAGTTTCTCTGAGTCAGGAGGGTTGATCTGGTCAGAACGCCAGACATCTAAGGACTAGTTCTCAACCCTCATCCAAGCGTAATACCTCACAGTCAGGACAGCCGCTCGCAACAGCCGGGGTACATCAGCGGCGGTGGCGATCAGAGGCTCCTGTGGCATTTTTCTGGGGGAATCATGTCATTTATACTCTAGATGATCCTAAGTCACCACCAATCACCCCACTTTCCAGACAAGGAGAGGAAGCCCCATGAGATCTCCCTAAGGCTACACAGCATGAAAATGGAGAATTGTAAACCACACCATCTATTTCAAAAGGTGCCTATGAGCAGGGCCATCTTCCTGGCTAGATATCAATAAGAAGTGGAAATTTCCCTGCCTATGGACATCTTCCCTGGGCAATGGGAAAGGGTGAGCTCTGACCTCTTTGTCACTAATTGGCTGTGTGGGGTGGAGCAAGTCACGTCACCTCTCTGGGCCTGAGTTTTCTTATCAGCAAAGCCGGAGATTAGACAGAACCCAAGAACTTCAAAATTGGGTACAACAATGGACCTCCGGGATCCCACTACCACACCAAGTACCAATCTTTAGTTACATCAGCCTGGAGGTGACCTCACTTAGGCTCACTTCTGAGCTGACAGTGCTCAACCGGGGCACACTACATAGCCCAGACCTGCCTGCCCCACCCCAGGCATCGCTGTTGCTCTCTTCTGTCTCTGCCCATGTGCAGAACTGGCCTTCCCGAGCCTCCTTCCTGCACAGTCCACCCCCCTCAGGCCCTTGCTGTTCCCAGGACAACCGCAGTCCCTGTAGCTGGTGTTCACAGCCCGCGTAACCTGGGTTTCATTTCAGAAGTACGTGTAGTTGACAGCATCCCTCACGTGCTCCTAAGGAATTTGGCTGCTGTTTCAGAACCTAAAATAGTGCAAGAGATTTCCCAGTCTCCCTTCAAGACTTAAAAAACAAAACAAAACAAAGAAGCTTGCCTTTTATTTGGCTCCTTCATCTCCTCCCTCTGTCCTGATAGCTCTGTACAACTGCTGTGTAGTCAAATATTCCCAGCCTTCCAGGACCCCAAAATGCATGCCCCTGATTGGTGTAGCCCTTAAATGCTCCCTGCTTCTACTAAATACCCATGCCCCTCACCCCAAGCCTCTCACAGTGTTGGATTTTTGTTGTGAACAGATTTGCGGGTAAACACCTTCATCCCACCATGTCTTTATCTGGTTTTACTTCCATTCACTGCGCAAACATTCCCAGATCTTGTGAGTGCCAGGTGCTTCCTGAGGAGCTGGGTGGGGTAGGGTGACAGCAACCAGGACCTGGCCTCTTTTCCCTGGAGCTCGGGGTCCTGTGGACAAGACCATATCATTAAAGGATCTGTCATTCAGTCACTGTTAAACTCTGGCTGGAAAGCGCTACCCAGGAGGAAAATCATAATACCAGTATTTCTTTTATTTAGTTAGTTATTTTTTGTCTTTTTTTGAGACAGGGTCTCGCTATACAGATCATGCTGGCCTTGAGCTCACTTTGTAGCCCAGGCTGGTCTCGAACTTGCAAAGATCCTCCTGCCTCAGCCTCCCGAGTGCTGGGATTACAGGCGTGTGCCACCATGCCTGGCTAATAATACCAGTATTTATTGAGCACCTACTATGTGCATCAGCCACTAAAGTAGTAAGTCCTGTGTGAGACCATTTAACTTTCTCACCAGTCGCAGTCAAGAGGATCTAGCACAAGACCTGATTATCAGTATGACAGAGAATTAACAGAGCTGCTTGCTTGAGCCAGAATTTGAGCCCAGGAATTTAATTCCAGAGCCCGGCCTTTCAATCACTGTGCTGAACTAAGACAGAATCCCATGGATGGCAGGCAGCTCAGAGGTGGAGCACTTGCCTGACATTCACATAGCCCTGAGTCTAAGCCCCAGCTACAATCAATCAATCAAAATAAAAATTAAATGAAAAGCCCACACCAGAGGGGCACAGCTGGTCTTGGGGTCTTGCAGAACCACGCCGGGGAGATATTTAATTGAGCAGAGGCTGCAGTGTGAGGTGCAGTTAGCTAAAAATAAAAAGGGTGGCTGGATAAAGAGGGTTCCGAGTAGAAAGGCCCAGAGGCGGAGCAAAAGCCTGGCAGGCTTGGGGAGCTGCAGCAGCAGAGGCAGAGGAGGTGGGAAGGAAGCAGAGAGACCTCTGTGGTGAAGTGGGCAAAGCCGGACACACGGGCCTGGGACTGTAGCCCCAGGGTTGGGTACAACAGAAAGGAGAAACTACACAGAATTTCATTAGACAAAATGGTAGGAATTTTGTTCTGAAACCCTGTATTATTTTTATTGTCTTTGTTTTGTTTTTGTCTATGTTGTTAGTATTTTGTTACGGTTCTGTTTTTTAAATTATTCTCTTTAAAAAAAAAAATGGGGAGGAGGGGCTATAACCAGTTCCACAGGATCCCGGCAGTAACAGATCCAGACAAGGAAGATGATTGAGACAGAAGGTTTGGGCTGGGGCTAGAGAGGCCAAGATGGCCAGAGGAGTCGGGCGGCTAGGAGGCTGGAGTGTCCAGAGGAGGGTGGGGCTGGCTGTGTCCCTCGGGGCCGAGAGAACTCACTGATGTGGGCGTCTGGTCACGGTGGAAGGGTGGCCACCACCAGGGAGGGGCCACAGAGCACATGGGAGATGAGGGCTGAGACAGGAGAACACACAGCACTGGAGACATCAGCCAGGCTTGGTGGTGCACGCCTGTAATCCCAGCACTCCGGGAGGCTGAGGAAGGAGGATCACAAATTCCAACTCAGTCTGGGCACCTTAGTGACTTAAGGAGACCCTGTCTCAAAACGAAAAATAGAAAAAGGCTGTGGGTGTAGTTCAGTGCGAAGTTTCTGGGTTCAATCCCCTGCACTGGAAAAGGAGGGAAGGAAGGCAGGAAGGAAGGGAGAGAGGGAGGGAGGAAGGGAGGAAGGAAAGGCTGCACAGTGGCAGAATGATGATCCTTCCACAAGTGAGCGGCTTGGCGTTCTCGTCACACACACAGATGATGCGGCACCGACAGTAGTCTCAGGCGTGCTGGAACACTATCCAGAGAAGCCACGCCTTCCACTGAGCCTCGGTCTGTATCTGGCCAACAGGACATGCTTTGTCCCAGCTTTGGGCCTGGCTCCTCACATCGCCAGCCCCACATTCAACAGCACAAGCGGCTCTTTCTTAAAATGTGCACTATCAAAATTACAGCAGGTGGGAGACCGCACAGAGCTGTGCTCATAGACCACAGCAGGGCTCCTCCGATCGACAGACCTGGATCACAGTACCACATTCCAGAAGGAAACCACTACCCTGTTTTGTCTGCAGTC